CAGACTCCCCGGACAGACCCCTCTCCTGCTTACAGAGGAGCAGAGATCCACTCAGTGGAGGGCATAGTCAACACACATGAGGCATCTTCTCTCCAACACCCCTGAGATGGTTTCCAGAGACTGTGTGGTCTGAGGTGCCATGTACAGGGAAACCCTGCCGAGATACCCTTGATTCAGATGCCTGGTGTCATGGCCACTGGGCCCCACTTGCTGACCTCCTCTTCTCTCCTAGGCTGTCTGTGAGGATCAACAGGAAGAAGAACATGGTGGTCTCCTTTGGAGACGGGGTTACCTTTGTGGTCGTCCTGCACCAGGTGTGGAAGAAACATCCCGTCCACCAGGACTTTCTGGGCTTCTATGTGGTGGACAGTCACCGGATGTCAGCACAGACACATGGACTACTGGGTACAGAATGTTTAAGCTTCGGGTTGTTCAGGCAACATGGTGGAGGGGGAAAGCCATGTGAAAGGCCATCCTAGTCACCCCAGACCCAGCACACAACACACCACTCAGCCTTTGCATCAACCCTAGAAGGCCAATGGCCATGTTACCCATGGCGATGGCACTGGCTGACCGTGCGAATGTTTTTATTCCCAGGACAATTCTTCCACCCCTTTGAGTTTAAAGTGTCTGACGTCCACCCAGGCTCTGATCCCACAAAGCCAGATGCCACAATGGTGGTGAAGAACCATCGGCTCACAGTCACCAGGTGAGGGAACTCCTCTGACATCCTCACCCTGCCCAGTAACCAGAGGGGAAGAAAGAGCCCTCTCCACCCATGCACATCAGCCTGGCAGGCTCTTGTCTTCGGTGCGGTACCCTCATTTCCCTCTGGGGTCTTGGCCCCCTCCAAGCCCCTCCTAATCAGGAAAAGGCCAAATTTGGCCCCCTGGAAGGAGTAATCATGTAACCTCATTCTCAACCAAAGAGTTCTAGACTCCTAGAATTGGCAACTTCACACCTTTTTTCAACCTTAGGTGCATGAGCGTAGCAGCCATCTGGCCCACCTGTGTATCACGGCCTCTCTCTCCTTTCTCCCAGGGGCTCCCAGAAAGACTACAGGAAAGATGTCAGCAGCGGCACAAAGGTTGCCTGCTGGTTTGTCCACAACAATGGGCAAGGGCTGATTGACGGTGTCCCTAGCGACTACATTGTCCCCGACCTGTTCTGAGTAGAAACATCAGCTCCTACTGAGACGGCTGGCCCAGCTCGCCTGGCATCTGGAACAGGGGCACAGTGCGGGGCCTGAGGAGGGCTGCAATAATAAAGCCTGATGTGGAAACCAGACTGCCCAGCCTCTGCATGCCTCTATGAGCCCCTGCTGCAGGGAACAGGGAGCTGGCACAAAGGAGGGGCGGGCTGCTAGGAAGGCAACTTCCTGGGCCTCTCCACTGATGCAGCTGAAAGACAGGGTTGATTGGGGTGGCACTTTGAGGAATCAAATGTATGATGGTTGGGGAAGAGAAAAATGAAGAATTGACTCTGGAGCAAAGAAGCTCTGAGAAGTCAGGAAGGGCTGAGTGCATTTCAGAGGGCAGGAGGGTCATAAGAAAAATCAGGGGTCATGGCTCAGAAGCTTCTATCAGGACCTTCAAGCCTGAAGATCCTTCTATGACAGACAAGCAGAGAGTGTTCCAGGACAGACACAGCCTGCAGCTAATTGTGGATGTCACTCATCCCTCTATCCCTCCAGTCATCTAGCCATCCATTTGCCCACTCATCCACCCACCCATCCCATATCCATATATCTACCAACCATCCATCCATTCAGCAGATAAACCCAACATCCTGGGCCAGGATCTGGGGGCATACAGCCGAGTAACCCAGTTCCTATTTGCATGAGTGCCCCAAATTTCCCTTCAGCTGGGCTGAGGATCCCTGGTATCCCCTCCAGTCACATCTCATGGTGACCACCCACTCCACCTCCACAATAAGTCCTGAGTAGGGTGAAGGGTCAGCCAGAGGTTCCTGGAGAAGGGGTTCTGAGAGCTCTCAGCCTGGACAACCCTCTCTCACCTAGACAACTGCAATTGCCCCTTCCTGGGTCTCCCTGCTTCCAGAGAGAGATTTTGCAGAGCAAAACTGATCATCACCCCCTGCCTAAACACTATAAATGACATCTCCTACCCATTGCCCTTGGGACAGAGACAAAAGTCCTTCCTATGGCCTCTCCAACTTCATCCACCCCATACACCAGGTGCTTCCCCTGCCTTTCTGGGGTCCAGATATACAGACCACTTCCAGTTCTACAGACATAACCCCTCTTGCCCCGGATCCTTTGGCTGTCCTGCTCTCTCTGCCTCAGGGGCTAGGACATGTTGGGCAGAGGGTACCCCATTGAAGGAAGAGGTGGGTGCCTTTACTTGATGGCAGAGCATGGGACACAAGAAGCCTGGAGGAGGTTGGAGTCAGATTGGGAAAGGTCACGAATGCCAGTGGGGGTGCGGGTGGGATCTGGCCGTGGGTCACGAGGACATTCTCCTACTTCCCACTCCAGGGGCCCCTCTGCCTGAGCCAGGCTGGGGTTTCCCAGGGCCCACACTGGCCTGGGGGTCTGGAGAAGGTATTGGGGAGGGCAGTCCTGGAGGAAATGTCCACCATCAGGGGAGACACCCAGCTGGCTATGAGAGGCTACTGGTGGACTGGTGGCTGTTACTGCTCTAGGGAGAGGGCCACATGAGATGCCCCAGAGCAAATGTGGCAGGGGTCCAGGCTGGGCTGGCAAAAAGGGCCCAGGCCCGGGATAGGACATCCCAAAGTGGACAAGCTCTGTCATCCATTCAGTCTCGGGTTGGCTGAGGAGCTGTGGAGCTTTAAACCAGTCATCTTGACATCCGTTTTCATGTCTGTAAAATGGGGAGAAAGATCCTGCCAGATGGAGGATGTGAAGAGGCATTATCGTCACGGTTTCTGGTCCTCCTGAGGTGCCTGTCTTTGTCCTGCTGCTCCAGTGAGCAGCCAAGCCCAGCGGGTTGGGAGAAAGGCAGGAGGAGCCAAAATTCTCCCCTTTCCCCGCAACACACAGTCAGGGAGGCCCTCCACACAGGCAAAAACTAGGCAGACCCTATCCTCTCCCCACATCATCCTGGCTGAGCCTGTCTCTGCCTACAGCCTCGGATGGCTCCCCTGGTTCTCAGGATGGAAGCCGTGCTCCACGGCGAGGGGCATACAGCCAGTGCTGGCTTGATCCTGCTTCTCCACCTCTCCAGCATCCCCTTCCACCCCACCCCACAGCACTGCTTTCCTTCACCTTCCCTGAACTCTATGCTAGGTTCAGTGTCCCAGCTCTAGGCTGGTGTTCTTGCCCTCCTTTTCCACTGGGCTAACATCTATTTATTCTTCAAAACTCAACTCCAACCATGCCACTTCCAGGAAGCCTTCCCTGATATTCCCCAGGCTGGGCAAGATGTCTCCCTCTGGGCTTTTTGTGGCACCTGGTCATTTTCTGGGTGGCAGCTGTCACAGTAGGCACTGTGTCTGTCACGATGCCCAACACACCTGCAGCACTTGGGCCCGGGCCTGGCCCACGTAGGTGCTGGAAAGCACTCGGTGAACAAAACAGTGAAGGGCATGGACCTACTTCCAACTGTTCACAGAGAACACCTGCCCCGTAGGTGCTGGCTGGGCCAGAATGTCCCCCATGACCCCTCTGCTGTTGCACAATTTCCACAGCCCAGCCCAGATGGCGGTGTCCCAGAGGCTTGAGCCTGGAGTGGGCATCCCCTCTCATCCCGGTATGTCAGGGCTAGCCCCACAGCAGTCTGATGGAGACCCCGCAGCTGCTTCCTTGTCTCGCAGAGCTATGGCCTGAGCTCCTCTGAGCAACCTTCACAAAGTGGCTCGGCCTGAGACGGCCCCCAACCTGCCAACCAGGCTTGATGGAGAGGCAGCAGTGCAGGAGAGTGTTCCCATGTATTTAGCAAACCTGCTGCTGGAGACCCCTCCCACCAGCCTCCCCTCTGACTCTTCTTGAAAGGCTCACTCAGCAAACAACCCATATAGCTCAAGAGCTGGGAAAAGAATGTTTTCCCTGATGATCTGCTTTGCCTCCTCTTAGCAAGCAAATGAGCTCATTTTCTGCTTTACCTTGGCTGCCAGGAAGCTCAGAGCAAAGCTTTGTGCTGCTGCAGCTTCCTACCCTGGTGTCTCTGACTTAACTTTCCTCCCACATGGCTCTTTTCTCTTCTTCTCACACTCATGGTTTTTGGGTTTATTTTCTTTATGCTTTTTATTTGTAAGCCAAAGAGTTGTGTCATTTTTTTTAGAAGTAGGCGGAGTAATTATACATTTTTTTATAAGTATGCTTTGCCTGGGCAGGAATTGGGTGGAATCTTTGGGGTGCCTAACCATAGTGCAGGGGCAGAAGACGAGACCCTCAACAGCTCAGGTATTAGAGTTAGGGACCTGGATCACCCCCATGAGACTGGAGGCTCCTGCAAACAGACCCTTGTTTCCCTCCTGGGACAGAGGCCTCATCTCTGTCTTCTTTTTCTTCCAGTGCTGGCTTCTTTATAAGGCGATGAGCAGACAGGCCTGTTCCTGAGCACAGGTGTGAAAATCAAATGTGTCATGCAAATCCCATTGCAAAAGGGCCCAAAAGCTTGAGAATGTTGGGGAGTTGGCCTATAAAGAACTTCCACCCAGTTCACTCTTTTTTTTTTTTTTTTTTGACTCAAAACTGGTTTTCATGGACCAAATGATCATAAAGCAGACTGAACCTCTGCTCCCAGCGAATGTTCTCCTGCCCTAGATCCCTAGCTAGGGACTGGAGCGACATGTTAAAGGGGTGGTTTAATCTCTCACTGAAAGCTCTCCATGGGCCTTACTGCACAGGCCTTTGAGGGGCTGGCAGTGGAAGAGTCTAATGTTACAGGGGGCTAAGTGTCCAGGAAGCGATTCTGAGGCCCTGGGATTTGGCCAGATTGAACCAAAGACTCCCACTCCCTGGGCTCACACATCTTTCTTTATTTGTAATGAGTGGAACTACCCCTCCCCACCATGGTCCAGGCCCCAGAGGGGCCCTGTGGTCATACGGTGACAGCCATCTGCACACAGTTGGGTGGCATGGGGGGTGGGCATAACTCCTCCCATCAGAACTACAGCTCCACAGACCAGCAGGAAATCTCTGTTCCTGGGAGCCCGTTTTGGTAATCCAGCTTGAGCTCTCTGGGATGAACAGACAGACAGACAGACAGACAGACAAAGTGGTTAGCAAATCTCAGGTGTGGTGGGAAGAGAGACAGACAACTAGGGATAGGAACATGGAGGGTGGAGAGTCTCCAGGCCTCTTCGAATTCCCTCCAGCACAGGCCAAGGCCTGGTCACCCAAGGGGACCTAGTTGTGTGTGGTCTCCAGGGTCCAGGGCTCTGAGAATTCAAGGGGAGTTTCCTACAGCCCCCAACCCACCCTAGGGCTCTCTGGGCTGGTGTATTTTCTGTGAGTCTGAGTTGATGGTCCTTTGTGGGGTCACTGAGAGCTGGGTCAGCCATGCTTAAGGCATCAACCTGACTCTTCCTAGTCCCTGATCAAGGACAGAGGAGTAGGGGCCCCCATTGTCCAGCTCCCAGCCTCCCGGCCCCCAACCCTGGCTAGGCTCAGTGGCCTGCTTGTGCCGAGTCACCTGGTGGCAGAGAGGTCATGCCCCTGAACCCTCAGTGTGCGCTTGCTGTCATCCGCCGCTGCTGGGGGCCCCCAGAGCACGTCCTGGTAAAACTGGCCTGGGGTACAAAGGGCAGGTCAGCGAAGGATAAAGACAGAGGGAGGCTGGGAGACACACAGAGGTGAGGGGCACTGCCTATTCACAGGCAGAGGTGGTTTCTGAGGATGCCTTGAGCCCAGGCCATGGGCAGCGTACCAAGAGTCCCACCGACATGGCTGGAGAAGCGGTTAGTGTCTCGCAGAAGGAGCCGGAGCCCCTTCCCAGGGCCATCCCAGGACAGCAGGCCGATGGTCACTTTGTCTGGGCTGCTTAGCATCAGGAGCCCTGCCTTATCCATGGTCATCTTGAGGCTGTGGGGAGACCCAGCATTCTGAGCAGGAAGGGAGGCCTGCATGGGACCCCAGCAGCTGTGGTGGGAATGGTGGGGGCTGCCCTCTTGTCCTCAGGAACTCCTAGTGAGGTCCTGGGTGGGGAGTCCCTAAATCTTCCGGGCTTCGGTTTCCTTGTTGGTAAACTGGGACCAATGGTAACTTGATGATGTCTGGCGATCCCAGCATTATTTATAAGATGAAATAATGTTCCTTTCCCTCTGGTTTTCTTGGATTTGGTTTCTCAGGAATGAATTTTCTAGATTGAGAGGCTCTGATACCTTCACTCGGTCCCTTTTGTTTTGAGGCCAGTGCCACATTCTTTTGATGATTAGTGTTGAATTGTGTGTCTTAAAGCCAAGAAGGGCAAGTCCCTTCTCATTCCATCCTTTTTTACTTAAAATAATCTCTGAAATTCTTACCTTTTTGGTTTTCTTAGGAATATTAGGCACCTTCATGCATGTTTTTTCTTGTGTGTGTGTGAGGAAGACCAGCCCTGAGCTAACATCCAATGCCAATCCTCCTCTTTTTTGCTGAGGAAGACTGGCCCTGGGCTAACATCCGTGCCCATCTTCCTCTACTTTACATGGGACACCGCCACAGCATGGCTTGCCAAGCGGTGCGTCGGTGTGCGCCCGGGATCTGAACTGGCGAACCCCGGGCTACCGCAGCGGAGCGCACGCACTTAACCGCTTGCGCTACCGGGCTGGCCCCAAGCATGTTGAATAAGACCCTGCTGTTACTCTGAGGTTATTTTAAATGCCCTAAACATACACTGTCCTTGATTCGATGTAAAAGACGTGGTCTGTTTTTCTTTATGTAAATCTTCTGTAGCTCATGAAAGTACGTGGACTTTGCATCACTACAGTCAATAGGAAGACTTGATTCCATCTTCTAGTGTGTATATCCAAGGCATCTTCGTGCCTTTATCAGATAACAGGAAACTTTAGGATCTTTTACGACACTGAGAGATTTTGGGTAAGTCCTCGGATTGCTAGGCATGCACTCACTTGTGTGGACCCATCTCTGCTGAGGGGCTCAGTGAGACGGAACAGACAGGCTCTCCATGCTTGGCACAGGCTGGGGGCTCAGAGGGCACTGCTCAGGGAGTGCCAGGGTCCTCAGCCTCTCTCCCAGGCCCCTCGTGACTTCCAGAGCCGGACAGCTGCCTCTGGAAGGCTCTATGGTGGGGCAGCCCCACCCGGAAGAGGTCGCCATCTACCTCCATTACCCACCAGCTGCCCGGCATTTGATGCCAGATGGACTTGTCTCTTATCAGAGCTTCAAGAGTATGCTGAGGGCAACATTCCCAACCTTCCATGGCAGACAGTGCTCTCCAGCTCTCATTATTGTCATCCTTACCTCACCAAGTAGAGAGCGCTGCCCTCCCATGTGCCCAACGGGCACCACACTGTCTAATGGGAAAAGTGCTCTCCGACCACATTCTTTCACTGGATCTGCCCCTCAGCCCTCTGACTCAGGGCTGTGATGATTATCCCTAGCTATGAGTGAGGAAACTGAGGCTCAGAGGGGCTAAGCGGCCTGCCCAGGGTCACACAGGATTAGCAGCAGAGCTAGCTCCAGAACACACTGTTTCCTGCATAGGGTGGTGACCTGGATTAGGTGTGAGGGCAGCCAGGCCCCCAGGGTCCCCTTGGTGCCCTCCAGAGCAGGAGGGGCATGGTGTAGGGCTCTCTGCATCTGTGTCCCTACTGTGGGTGCAGCCCACTGCAGAAGACTCATGCACACCCACTCCACCCCCAGGCCCGTGGCCTCAAGTCACCTGTCAGCGCTGTCACCAGCTGATGCAGGCTGAGAGGTTACTGCTGGTACCCAGCCTGGGGCTTACCCGGGCATCACTGAGAACAGCGTTTCCTTCCACTTGTACACAGAGTTTCTTCGGTTCCGAGTCACTACCACATGCTCAGGGGATGCGTGGATCTGCAGCTGGGGGTTCTTGAAGGTCACCTCGATCCATGAGAACTGGGCCTTCTCTGTCTCATACTGGCCAGTCACCTCAACCCCTGCAAGGGCCAGGAGCAGAGACGTCAAAGCTGTGGCCTCAGCTGGGCACCGGCCTGAGCAGCAGCTCCTCCCTGATTACCTCCCCCAGAAGCATTCTTCACCAATTCACATCCTCAATCCCCCTTCCCCAGCATTCCCTCACACTGGGGCCTGGTTCCCACAATCTTTCCACTCATCCCTTGGTTTTATATGGAAGGGCCCCCGAATCTGCAGTGACGGCCATCTTCAGATGAGCCCTCTGAGAAGGGAGGTCTTGTCTGAAGTCAGTAAACGTTAATCAGGCCCCTGTAGTATGTCTGGCCCTGATCTAGATGCCAAGGTCAAGAGCAAGATGGAAAATCGGTGGTCCCCATCCTCAGGGAGCAAACAGACTCCGGGCCTGGTGTGATGCAGTGGGAGACTGCGTGGATCTGGGAGGAACGAGGGAGCCATAGATGTTCATTGACTCTGAGTGGCTCTGTGGGTGTGTGTGTGAGCATCCCTGAGTGCTGTGCGTCCCCAAGTCTGACCTGACACCTCAGCTCAACCAGGAAGATCCTTCTGGGGATTGGAGGACAGGTCTGGCCAATACACCTACCTCCTCCACACCCTCTGAAGTCCCACCAGCATCTTTCAGGGCTCTGTGCTTCCGCCTACCTCTTCCTCTGCCTAGTGGATCTCCACTCATCTGCCAAGGCCCAGTCACACCTGTATGACCCTGTGTAGCCTTCTCTGACCCTCAGACAGCTCCTCTGGGCTCATCTCCATGTCACGCTGGGCACTGACTAGAGGCCACTGTGCTTATCTGTGCCAAGGTCTGTCTCCCCACCCCTGAAGTGTGGCAGTGCTTGGGGGCAAGCCCACATCTGGTCACCCTGGAGTGCCAAGCCACCCCAACCTGCATACATGTTGCCCAGTGGGAGGTCTGTGGAGTGGATACATGAGTGCAAGTGTCAGTGCTTGGGGGCGTGACCGTGCCATGACCTGGGACAGGCCCACACAGCACAAGGTCTGCCCGCGTGTCTCCATGGGCAGGTGTCCCATTGTGTCTCCAGAGTGGTAAGCTGGGGGTGAGAGGGGTGGACGACTGGGTGTGCACCTCTCACCTTGGTCAGGGTCTGAGAGCAGGTTCATCAGCCCCTGAGAGCGCTTGATGTCCACGCAGAGCTGGTCCACGCTCTGCCCAGGTAGCGGCAGGATGACAGGAGGAGCCTGGATGTGGGCTGGGACAGCAGGGGTGATTCCTGGGGCAGGTGAAGCAGGCTAGGGTGTAAGAACTGGGAGGGGGGCTAAGGAGGGCTGGCAACTTACCTGGGGACTGGGCTGTCGTGGTAGTTGTTTCTGAAAGAAAAAGAGTCTGGGTTTAGGCAGCCCCTTCCTGGGGAAGGGGCTGTGTGAGGGGTGGGGTGAGGGATGGAGTAGTGCATGGATGTGGCCAAGGCCCTCTGTCCACTTCAACATTGAGAAACCCATGTGACAGGTTCATAGAGATTCCGGGGGCTATCCCCTCCCAGGGTCTCCCTGCTATAGGGCCAGAGTCTACTGCAGGGCTTTTGGCCTGGGGGGGGCACCTTTGATTCTTAAATCCACGCCATGAAACACTGGATCAGGAACTGAGGGTGCTGGTGGCACCGAAGCCAGAGTTAGTGCAGGAACAGCCAGAAACAGAAAGGGAGAAGGCAGTCAGGATTCAGAGCAATCAGCTCGCCTTCCAGCCATCACTGCCACCTGCCACCCACCAGACTCCAGCCCCACAACCCCTGCCACACATACACCCAACCTAGAAGAGCCTTTGCAAAGAGACTTTCAAACTGAAGAGCATGGTATTAGGGAAAAGGCTGAGGAGACAGGGTCCAGCCTGGCTCTGCGGCTGTGTCTGAGTCCAGATTTAGAGATCGCAAACAGTTCAAGGGGCCACTGTGGGCTTTGGGAATGGAGGAAACCTTCCCTTTCCAGAAGGTTCCATCTGAGACAGCCTCCAGAGGGTAATGAACCCAATTCAGTGAAAATGAAGGACACATCACTTAATGTCGTGCCCCACAGCAACCCTCTCTGGTCTGCCCAGCCCTGTGCTTGGTGCTTTATTTCATCCAACTCTGCGGGCAGTTTTGATTATTACTTTGGGGAAACTAGGCTCTAGAGGGTCAGAAAGCAGCTTACCTAACACGTCTGGTAGCAGCATACCATGGTGGGGTGGGAAAGAACGATGAGGAGGATGAAGAGGTCCGGGTTGTCCAAATCTCCGTGGGAAGCTGGGTAGCTTCTGGAAAGTCCCGGCTTTGGAAAAGTTGACTTTTCCATGAGAAGACATGCAGTCTTCTCTCAGACAGCTCCCCTCCCAACACTGCCACCCTGGGAGCCTCTCCCACCACAGCTGGGAGAAATTCGAGGCTGGAACAATGGAGCCTCCTTGAGCTCCTCCCCATTGGGACATCAGGCCCCCCACCCGGCAGTGACCCTCACACTACCTTGTCCTCCCAAGCCTCTTCTTTCAGTAAGGACAGGGTCTGTATAACTTCCTCCTAATCAGTCACATCTGAACTTGAGTCCCAGCCATGCCACCAGCCAGGTGAGCCAAGCAAGTCACTCCCCCTCAGCCAGGGCAGAGCCCAGACTGTGGCCAGGGTCAAGGTTCTGTCAATCTCCCCTCCCCCTCCCCTCTCCTCCTTTGCTACCTGTTATTCTGGACATTCTGTCTCCCACGGAATGAGTTTTGAAGGCAGTGTGACCTGGAAATCAGAGACACCTGGGTTTGCTTCTTGGATGCACCGTTCTGGGGCCCCCAGCTGGATGGGGACTGTGTCCCCAGTGCCTAGGACAGGGCCTGAGTGGCAGCCAATTCATTCATTATCTGAATGAACAGGTGACTAAATGCACCAGTGTGCTTGGGCAGACGATGCTCGCTCCTGGCAGCCGGGCTGAGCTGGAGAGGCCCTGGCCAGCGAACTCGTGGGGCTGGTGTCCTAGGCCGTGTCAGCCAACTGTCACCCAGGCCAGCCTTTGAGGGTATTAGGCCCTTACCTGGGTGGACGTTCCTGTGTCTGTTTTCTGGATAAAACAAAAAGAGAGAGAGAGAGAGAGAGACACTGTCAGGGTATCTGATAAATTGGAAGGGCTTAGATCTAACCTTGCTTCCCACCCCCAGCACTACATATGGGTAGTGAACACGGGGGTCAGGAGACCTGGCTTCAGTTTCCTCATCAATGAAATGGGATGAGTCTCCTGGGGCTCCTGGGAGTCTGTGGGTGGCAGGGATGGAGTCTTGGTTGGGATGTGGAGGGGCTGGGGAGAATGCTGGGTCAAAACTCTGCTGCCAAGGAGGCTGGGATCCCACCTCACACCCACCATTTTCCAGGGGCTTCTCAGCAACTTGAGACTGTTCTTGACCTTCAGGTTTGGTGACCACCATGGACGTGAGGGGGGTGACAAAGCTGTACTTGAGTGACAGGTTTAGAGCTTGGGTCTCGAGGGCCTGCTTTTCAGCATCTGATGCAGACACTCTGCAGGTTGAGGACATAGAGGCTCAGCAGGTCCCTGGATTCCTAGTCAGATTCTCCCACCATTCCAGACCCTTCCAGGGGGTTTCCACTGGGAGAGTCTGGATCTCAGACACAATACCACGACCCCCTCTCTCCATGCCTAGGAGATGGCCCCATGCCAGCTGTGCCCACCCCACCAGTGAAGAGCTTGGGGAGGCGCTGAGGCCACGTGTGGCCACCCCAGCAGGCCCTCGAGGGTACGGGCCACTCACATTTGCTCCAGCAATTGCTGGATGGTCAGGTACGCCCAGAGTCTCTCTATGAAGCTGTGGAAGATGTACTTGGGGCTCCGGAACTCCTCCTCCTTCTGGGCCACGCTGGATTCCATTTGGAAGGTGATGTTCTGCAAGTGCTGGAAAGAGGGGCCCAGCCAGGGCAGGAGCAGTGAGGGTCTGACAGCAGCACCTGACCTGGAGCTTGGAGCACTTCCACGAGAAACCTGGTTGGAGCTGGGGCAGGTCTCATGCGTTGGCTGCGAGGACTGCCCTTCTTTGAGTAGAGTGGGGGGCGGGGAGGGAGTTTAGGGCTGCGAGGGGCTCGGTGACAGAGCCTCCAAGGATGAGAAGGAGGAGGAGATAAAAGGTAGGAAACTATCCCAGGGGCAGCAGGGCAGGTGCAGAGCCGGGGGCCCCAGGCAGACCGACCCTCAGGGAGGAAGGAACGAAGATGGGCTCTGAACCCCAGGCCGGGGTAGAAACAGCAGCAGGAGGGATGCACAAGTACAGTGTGGAGCAGAAAGGGTCCCAGACACAGCCTACCCTCACCCCAAAGATGTAGACTCGGGACAGAGAGGGAAGAGCCTTCCCTAGCAGTCAGTGGCAGAGCTGGGAAGAAAACTCAAGCGTCATGGCCCTGATGGGGCTTGGAGCCCCGTCCACCCCAGCAAGCTGTCTCCTGCCCAAGCTGGTGCCCTTTGCTGGGACTGAATACTGTGGGATGGTGACAGTTAGGCATGCGCCCAAGCTCTGGGTGGACTGCCACTTCCTTCCCCAGGGAGGGGCCTTCTGCTCTCAGGCTGACCTGGCCCGCAGCCTGGGAAATGGGGTCTGGGGAGAGAGGAACCCCAGCTCTCTCACTATAGCTCCCCAGGGCAGCCAAAGACCTGCTCAGTGTGGATCCAATCCCACCACCCCTGCTGGAACCACCCTCCTCTGTCTCCCACCCAGAGCCGGGCCACCTGAGGCTTTGTCACGTGCAGGACACCTGCATGCATTTTGCTCTCTCCACACGTATAGCTATTTGTCTGATGGTTTTCCTTAATTGCACTTTAAATAGATTCTTTACTTGGCCTTGTCCCAAGCAATACCTGTGAAATCTTAGGTCTGGGGTCCGAGTTATATTTTTCAGAACATTAAAATAAATACATAACTGTTAAAACAAAGAGATGTTTGTGAACTACCCCGAGTCACGTTGGGTTCTGCCCTTTGGGAATCCTTGGCCTCCAGGAGAAGATCAGCATCTATTGTGTACAGTGCATTTACACAGAGCCAGACCTTAACCCCCACAGCAGCCTTACAGGTTGATAAGGTGATTTATTCTCAGTTTTACACAGGAGGAAACTAAGGTACAGGGAGGTTAAGTGACTTGCCTCAGGTGTCACCTCTGGGAGGTGGCAGAGCTGGGTTTAAAGCTGGGCAGGCTGGCACAAGGCACGCACCGCCCATCATGACACTTGGCTACTTCTTCTGAGATGAGGCCCTGGACCCCCCATACCTGCCTGCCTGGCTGCCCTGCCATTCTCCCCATACGTGCTGTCCGCCAGCCATGCAAGCCTGGAACATTCCTCCATCACTCCACCATCTGGCCTCTGCCACCTCCTACTCATCCCTAAGTCTCAGCTGAGCCTCCTCCAGGAAGCCTTCCCTGATCCCCAGGCCAGGTTGGGGCTCCCAGTGCTGTTCTCCTGAGTCCCTGGGTTTATCCTGTCAGGGACATCCCAGCCTGTAGCTCCTTGTTTACATGACGATTTACCCATGCTGTCTCTCCTGTGAGAACCTCCCTAGAGAAGGACCTCTCCTGAGCAGGTGCTCAGTTTCTGTTTCTGGAATGAGAGGGCCTCTCGTGGCACAGAGGCAGGGAAGGATGGGCAAGGGCAGGGTACCACATGGTGAGCCGAGCTCTTGACCCAGCTGCAGCAGGGCCCAGGGCAAGCTGCCTGCTCTACCCGGGCCTCAGACTGCTCATCTGTCAAATGGGAACCACCCTCCCTGCCGACTGAACCTCAGAGGGCTGGTGTGAGGATGGGAGGGGTGCCAGCCCCTGGTGCCCTCAGGAACAGCAGCAGCCCAGCCTGACCACCGAGTGCCTACCCGAGACAGCACACGCAGGTGCTCAGGAGAATCAGGATGTTATCTCGTTGAATCTCCACCACGAGCCCACGCAGTGGGGATGCACAAGTGGCAGAGGGCACTTTGCGACTCGCTCAAGGTCAACCGGCTAGAGCCTGTCAGGGCTGGGGTTTGAACCCAGCCCCTCTGACTGCCTGCCCCAGCTGCCCTTCATCTCCAGGATGGCTGGCCACACTCACCACCTTCCCGCTGACTTTGGCTGAGAGCACATCAGGGCTCTGGTCCCGGAGCTTCCCGGCCACTACCATCTCGGAGCCCTTGAAGAGCAGCCGGAAGTTGTCCTGCGTCACCTCCTCCACGGCATTGCTCGGGTACTCGAAGGCCACCCTCATCAGCAGTGGGTTGGCCACTTCCTGGTAGAAGTCCTGTAGGGTGGGGGGGTGTCACGAGGGCCGGCTGGGGTCTATCCACCTCTCTGTGCTGACCCTCACTCAGGCTGCCCACCAGGGGTATGCAGGCACCTGGAGCTGCAGGGCAGAGTCCGAGTCCTCATAGATGCGCCGAGCCAGGCCACCGTTGTCCAGTGCCAGCTTCTCCAAGAAGGCGTAGCTGACGTCGAAGCCGAAGCCCAGGCAGAAGAGGCTGTACTGGCCACCTATGGCTGCCTTCACGTTCTTCTGGATGCTCGCAGGGTTGGTCTCCCCTGGACCCAGCGGTTTGGGAAGCAGGTGAGAAAACAGTGATTTGCTCAATGGATATTTCTGGAATCTCAGAGCCAGAGGGGCCTCAGAGACCCCCTCCCTTCCCTGGCTCCCACAGCAAGCCAGGGTGGAGCCCCAGCGGCTCCCCTTGGGCAGTGTGCCCTGGAGTTGCTGGCAGTGCCTCACCCACGGTGGGGTCGCCGTCGGTGAGCAGGATGATGAGGGAGACACTCCCTGCGGGCAGCAGCTCCTGCTGGTTGGCTCTCGTCAGCAGCTGCACGGCCCTCAGTGTCGCAGCGTTGATGTCGGTCGCTGTGGGGCGCACACTCTCAGGGTGGCTCCCAGCCAGATGCCCTGGGCCGTGCTCGGTGCCCCAGAAGCCCCACCCTGCAGGGCTGCCCAGGCGCTCACCTCCCTGGGCCTTGATGACAGCAGCGTAGTTCTTGGCCTCCTTCACGTTCTCAGCTGAGGCCAGCACCAGCGATGGCTTCCACTGGGTTGTTTCCCCGCTGAAGCAGACAAGGTTGAACCGGTCTTTGGGGCTGAGGTCGTCCAGGATCTTAATTAGGGCTTCCTGGGTCTGGTGAGGAGGAAGGGAGACAAGGTGGGTATCTTAGTGGGGCCTCCTTGGGGTCTCACGTGTTCTCGGGCTGGCCCTCCCGGAGCTTGCATCTGGAGTGGGGCCATGGTGAATGCTCTAGGGGTAGCACCTGCCCCATACTCTGACCAACCACGACCTCTGGGACCCCCCTACCCAGGAAGACGGAGAAGGGATGCTCTGCTTGCTGGACCAGAGCTGATGGTGTGAGGTGTCTGGGAGCTTTCAGGGTCCCGTCCAAGCCCATGGGACCCACCTGCTGGATTTTCCTGCCCATCATGGAGCCACTCTTGTCAATGACAAAGATCACATTCTTGGGTATTGTGGGCAGGCCCTCGGGGGCAAAGTAGTGCACAAAGTAGCCATTCTCAATCTGTGACCAGAGTGAGACGAACCCAGGTGATGAGAACTGCAGCCCTGCCCTGCCCCCAACCAGCCTCCTAATCCTGAATCCTCGGGTTCCTATGCTGTCTCCATTCTGGCCCTTCCATCTCTGTCCCACTGCTAACCTCCCCAAATTCTTGCCATCCTTTAGGGCTCAATCCAGCCCCTCTCTTGCCTTCCCTGCTCACGCATGGCCCACTAAGACTCTACCCCACTTTACCTCCTATTTGTTTTAGTATTTGAGGCAAGTTATACTAAAATGTTCAGACATAAAAAACCTGAGATTCAGCAAAACAGTGAAGACCCCAAAAATAAGGTCCATCAAAAGAGTAAAGGGGAACACAATGACGCCAGAAACTATGTGAAAGAAGCTACTGCATATGAGCATAAAACTGAGCTGTGAGCCTCCTGGCAGCCAAGGTAACAAGGAAAACCCTGCAGGGCAGCTCTTCAGCAGAGGCAAACCTTTTTTGCCTCCGAAAGGGAATTGTTTTCTGTCTATGCTGCCCCTGGTGCACACTAATACGTAGGGGCAGTTATTTTGCCTTTTCTTCTAGAACACTCAGGCTCAGGCTCTTGAGGGTAGATGGATTTCCTGGTTGCCCCGGTCTTGCCTGGAGCCCACACACCTGAATGGAGCCCCCAGAGATGGTCCGGTTCACATCATAGCGGACGATGAAGGTGCCGTCCAGAACTGTGTCTTGCTGCTCCGGAGACTTCTGCTGCTGGGAGAGCGTTGGCTTGAACCGGATGTGAGCCTGGAGAAACCACCAGACTGAGGTTGGAAGGAGCAGGGAGGCCATGCCAACAACACCCCTCACCCGTGGTCTGAAGTGAGAATTCCAGGATGTAGCCCTGGGTCAAACTCCAGGGACCTCTCTCTCAGGCTGAGCTGTCGCATAGACTGCCTCCACACAGGGGAGGGGGTGTGAGAGTGAGTCCCCTGCTCCCGGAGCTGCACAAGTGGAGGTTGGGCTCAGGATGTGTGCGATCCAGCCATCTTCTCCTCCCACCTGGTTCTGGGACCCTCACATCAGTCTCCTCTCCAAGTCCTTCTCCTCCAGTCTCAGGGTTCAAACTAGCACCCGCCATCCCTCTCTAGGCCTTCCCCTCCCCATCTGCCAAATGACAGCAGGGACACAGAGGCCTCAGAAGTTCCGCCAGCTGAGAGATTCTGCCCAATTGTCTCACTTTCTGGAAATCCAGGCTTATAGGGCTGGCCTGAAGACAGGCCCCTTGGTACCCTCCCCCACCGACCACAGCAGGCCCACCTTGGTCATGTTCTGCGAGACAGTGAGGGCATTTGCCAGTTCGTTGGTCATGAAGGTGCTCTCTGTCTCCAGGAACCTGATGCCCTGAGGCTCGAAAATGTGAATGTCCATCTGGAGGCAAGAAGTGGGTCACTGGGTCAGCCAGGAGCTGAGGCTAGGCCTCACAGGAGGCAGAGGGGAAAGTGGGGCCACCCTCAGCAGAACAGGGGTCATCCAGGAGGCCTCCTGGGAGGAGGCAGCAGCAGGTACCTGCAGGTGCTTGACCAGCTGCTGGGGCCGGACTTTCAGCAGCAGCTCATACACTCCCAGCTGCCGCTTGAGCAGCTCCTCATACACCAGCTCAAAGGTGACCTTGGCTGCGGGAGCCACATTGACAGATACCTGGAACTGCTCCATCTTTCTCCCAGTGGCCCTGGGGGAGGAAGGTATCGGGTCTGCCCCTCCAGGCCAGGTGGGGTATGGCCACCGCAGACTGGGGAGCAGGGCTCAAGGGCTGAAGGTCAGCCTCTGCCTGACCCCCACCAGGTCCTCCAACAACCCCGCCGGCTCACTTGACAAGGCCAGCGCTCTCTCCCCTGGCCACGGCTGCACTGTACTGTTCCTGGGCTGTAGCCTTCTCCTTGATGTTCCCTGGGTACGTCACACCATCGATGATCCTGGGGCAGGAGGATGGGAGTTGTGGAGAGCTGGATGGGGGTGGCCCACTCCAATCTCACCTCCTCCAGTGAGCCTCTCTAGGACTTGGTGTGCTTCTTGACAGAGTGACTCCTATCCTTACCTGAGCCCACCTCAGTTTATTATGCACCTATTGTGTATAAGACTGTGCAGCACCCAGGGTGAGGTCAGGGGGCCTCTGCAAGGTATGTCCAGCCTACAGCTATCCTGAGGCATGTACAGTGTTAGTAAACATTTTTTTAGTTAATAAACATTTTACTGAACAGACAGGGGACGGAGGTTGCAGAGGAGGCAGGGCTGAGCTGTTTCAGCCCCTCTTCTCCCTTCCAGTCTGGCCTCACATTTCAGTTGCCCCTTCCCTTCACCGACTGTTCCCAGAGGAGGAACCGCCCAGTCACTAGCGAAAGCTTTCTGAGGCCCGCCTGTGCCCAGCCCCGTGTCCAGCTATGTGGGGCAGACTGAGGCGGAGGGAGGTGCCGGTTCCCAGGCCAGTGGAAGACATAGGGCTGAAAGGCTCTGACCCCTCTCCCCCTGTGGCTACCCCCTCTTCCCACCAACACAGTGCAGGGCACTCTGCAGGGAGGGTGGCCTCTGGGGAAGCAGGTTTTGGATAATTGGTGGGCAGGACTCCTAGGAGTGGGACACAATCCTAGTGGCCATTCTTTGGGACTGAAAGAGAACTTCCCAGGCTGTTTGTCTGGAAGGAAAATGACTACTCCAGAACCTCCTTGTGGGATGAGTATGGCATGGCAGGCAAACATGAGCCTGATCTGGGGGTGGCCTGAAAGGGTGGGAGTGTCTAGGGGTGGGTGGGGAGGTCCAGACGTCAGGACCGAGTGTCCTTCCTCCCCACCTTCCTGACCTTCCTGGTCATACTTTAACTCTGGGCTAGGGATGGCGCTGGTGCATTGGCTGCAGGGCTCCTCCTCCCAGATGCCCACTGGGAGCTCCTGGCCAGGTCAGGGAGCAGGGCACCCTGCCCCCTGCTTCCCTATTCTATGCACCCCTGAGAGGGGTGCCAGTCTTGGGCTCCCAGCAGATGCGATGGGCCCAGAACCTGGCAGCCTGCTGGCCTAGCACCCATGTGGGAGGCTGGGTGTAGCCTGTGATACTGCAAGTTGGCAGCACAGGCCCTGGCTCCGGCGTTAGGAAAAGTAGAGGCTGGTGGTGGGGGGAGGGTGGCAGGGAGAGAGGGAAGAGCCAACCACAGGGACCTCGCCCCCACTGCAGTTTTTCAGAGGTCCCAGGGTACACTGGGGACCCTGCCTGAGAGACACTCGCTCTCTGCCCCACCCATTGCCCTCCCTGAGTTTCTGGGATCAGCCTGCCTCTGGTCTGGAGTGTCCTCAATCACTGCCTCTCCTGCGGGCCAGGAACAGCCAGAGAGTTCTCTTGCATTTAGCAAACATTGCAAAACTGAGTCAGGAAGGGTGGGGGAGGATAGCAGAGGACTAGGGGAGGATTGTCACCAGTTCAGAGTCCGCAGAGACCCCAGAGGCCTCCCAATGAGGCTTCTGATCCAGAGTAGAAACGCTCTCTGCAGTATCCCTGTTGGGGACTAGCGTGGCTTAGAACTTCCTGTGACAAGGAGGTCCCCCTCCTCAAGGCATCACTCCATTGTGGGGCAGCCAGGAGTTAGGAAGTTTTCTGTATTCTGAGCTGGAATCTGCCTTCTGGTGACTCCCTCCTGCCTGGGCCTGGCCTCAGAGTGTCCCAAGTCTGTCCTACTCAAAAGCAAAGACACAAAGGCATCATTGTTCTCCACCTGCCACCTGGGCAGCACTGAGGGATAATGGGTTGATGGATGGAGGGATGGACAGATGGAGGGAGTGATGGACGGAGGGTGGGATGGAGGGAGGGAGGGAGGGACATAGGGAAAGATGGAGAGATGGAAATGTCTCTGAGAACGCGTGTAGTTCCTGTATTGCCTACAGGTGGAGCATACACACCTAAGGCATACATCCTTGCATACCTCACATCAAGAAGAGGGCCTCTCTTCCTGATGGGGCACAGGACGGATGATGTCACGGTTCTGGGTTGGGGAGGGGGGATGAGGAGGAGGGCAGGAAGGCACCTACATAGAGAAGTTGGTGATGAAGGCTTTCTTGGGCAGCTCCATCTGGAAGGTGGCCTCCTGCACAGTATCAGCCTTGTTGACTACCCGGCTGGTGACGACCGTGTGGGCAAATCGGGATGAGACCTTGGAGTCCACAGTGAAGCTATAGATGTCGATGTCATTCTGGACCAGTGAAGGAGGAGGAGGTGGGATTGTCTTAATGCCACCCTAGCTTGGGGCAACACTCTTCAAGAGTGGGCCCTGACCTAGGTCCCAGACCAATCCCTGGCCCCCCAACCCTAACTGAGCCCTTGACTGGGCCTCAGGCTAAAGCCCATGAGGCATTTCATATGCGAACCTTTGTCTCACCTCTTAAGGCAGCTGTGTGCTTCATTCCCCACCATACAGTCTTGTTATGTGGGGTCCATAGTGCCCTGCAGAAGCCCTAGTGTGTCTGGGAGGGGACTGTCACTTATCCTTGGAGTGAGGTGAGCACAGAGGGCCCTGGCAGGGTCAGGAAGCTTGTGTGCAGTCTTAGCTCCGCCCAGTGAAAGGGCAGTGAACAAGTCCTTTGATTTCTGGCAACCTTGGCCTCCACAGAAATTAGGGAAAACAGCTCCTGCCAGTCTTCCACAAGGGGCCTTTGGGAGCTGGGAGAATTTGGAGGTAAGGGTCCAATCGCTAAAAGCTGGGAATCTTCCTCGGCCCCCTTTCCCTGCAGCCGTGGACCCACCCCAGTTGCCCCCCTCCCCCCAGGGCTCTCCCCCAGGCATGTGCTCTTCGCCCCAAGGACTGCAGTCCCCAAGGAAGGACACATGCAGAGCCTTACACACCTCTTGCCTGCTTGCACATGGCACACGTACATACCAGCTCTGTTCAGCAGCACAGGCAGTTTAGCATAGAGGCACGTGACTGGCCCAGTGGCTTGTTCACACATGTGAGCATCTGCTCTGTGCCAGGCACTGTACAGTCATGTGCCGCATAACGACACTTCGGTCAATGATGGACTGCATATATGACGATGGTTCCATAAGACATAATGGAGTCTAGGTGTGTAGTGGCCTACACCATCTAGGTTTGTGTAAGTACACTCGATGATGTTCGCATGACAAAACTGCCTAATTACACATTTCTCAGAACGTGTCCCACCGTTAAGCGACGCACGACTATACTAAGCACTTGATAGGTATTATGCTGCATCTTCACAATAAACCTTCAAATAGGTTCTGTTATTACCTTGTCTTACAGATGCAGAAACTGAGAGAGAGAAAGCATAAGTAACTTCCTCAGGGTCACTCGGTCAGGGAGAGGTGGCGCTGGGCTTGTGAAGTCCATTCTCACCCACCCACCCACTGCCAGCCTTGAGCGGCCACTTGCTGAGCTGCATTTCCTCACCTGCCAGATGGGAATAATAGGATTGCCCCTTCTATTAAGTGTGAGAATATCCATAAGGCCCTCAGGGTGGTACCGGGCGGATGGTCAGCACCATTTCTTTAAATACACACTGATCTGTGCTCACTTGTACTTACATGCTTGCACACACAGAGGGTCTCCTCCACTCGTTCACCAGCTCACACCACTCACACTCAGGTGCATACACACAGGCCCCCATGGACACCTGCTACCTTTCGGGCAGTGGTGGCCTGGAGGACAGCCGGCAGCGAGAGCAGGACCAGCATGATGCTGTAGGTGTGGAGAGGGGTCTTCATTTTGGCTCCAGTGAGTGGCAGGCTGCTTCTGAACTTGCGAGGAAGTGGGGAGTGAATTAGTAACTTGCTCACTGCCCCGCCCCTGTGGGGGCAGGTTCTGGGAAACTGGGATCTACAAGCCAAAAACTGAAGTGGCCTCAGTAAACAGGCAAACTGCAAATGTCCTGTGGACCTTGGCTGGGGACAGGAACATGTACTGAGGAAAGGCACGCTCAGGTGGGAGTTGGGTATTGGCATCCCTTCTGAAAGGTCCAGAACCTTCCCAGGCCACCACCACCCCTCACACCAGTCGTTCACCAACAAGCTCCCTAGAGCAGGGGGACACAACAGTGACCCAGGCCACTCTCCATAAGCCCAGTCTGGGGGAAACAGAGGGATGGCTGGGAAGACGAGGGCTGGGGCAGCTTCCTGGAGGAAGGGTGCCTGAGGCCAGGCCAGTGTGTCTGGGCAGTGGGGCCCTAAGGCACTGAGCAGCCCCTGGGGGTCTGAGTGGGGTAAGATCTGTTGGGGCCAATGCAGGATGGATACACCTTATTTCTGGGGTGAGAGGGGCTGGGCCCAGGAGCCCCTTCTCTCTCCTGGTCCACATGAACCTAGCCAGGGCTCTTGATTCAACTCCAGCAAGGCTCCCAAAATGAGACAAACCAAGAGCCATAAAGACGCCCACACCTTGTGGCCCAGAGGTCTCGCTGTGGGGAACTGATTGAGAGGAAAGCATGGAACAGAAGAGAAAGCACAGAGCTCCTGAAGGGGGTGATTCTGTGCCATGCCGTGCCCACTCAGGTGGCCGACGCGGAGGCCGGTCGTGCCACAGCAGCCTGTGAATCACAGCCTGAATGAGAAAGGGCCGAAGGCTGATCCATCAGCATGTCAAGGCAGTGCCGTTGTCACGAGCCCGGACCAAGGGGAGGGCAGCCCAAGGGCCTGGGGTAGGATTACTGACTTTTTCCAATTTTCCTTTAATAAAGTTGAAATGCTGCTTTTATAACAAATAGCAATAAAGTGAACAAATATTGGGGGATCCGGACGCAGCTGGTTCTTGTGTCCTTGGTGGCTCGGGAAAGGCCAGCTCCTGAGTCTGTGGCCATAGAGGGGGTAAAGATGCTTCAGGAAAGTGTGGTCAGGTGCCAAATCCTGGGTTGGGGAAGCACTCGGTGACAGTAGCCCTGGGGGTGGAAGATGGGGCAGCCATCTTGTGGGCCTACTCGGGGCCCTGGGGCAGTGACCGGCTTGCAGAGGGCTGGGAAGGGGTCTCCTCCATTAGCCCTGCCTCCGTCAATGCCAGTAGCATCTGGTCCCAGGGGAAGGGCATCATAGACTTTGGAGCTGTGTCTGCAGCTGCAAGTAAATGTGCCTGTTCCTCAGCACGACTACAGCCAGAAGCCTCATCTCTGTGTGCATCTAGATTGCTCACTCTTTGGCTCTGGCTATGATTGGGTTACATGGAGAGCGGTGGGGTGGGGAGAAGAGTCACACCCCTTTAGCAATGTGGGGGAAGAGCCTCCCCAAGGAGCCCAGTGAGCAGACCCAGGCCCTGTCCCCACAGAAGGTCTGCTCCCTTGGGGCACAGATTACAGGCCTAGCCTGGAAATAGCTATATAAGGAGCCCAGGGTGGCCAGGAACGTGGGCAAGTCTCCGAGCAGTCAGCTCTACCTGCCCAGGGGACAGGAGGGGCATCAGCCCTGAGGCAGGCCCTGCCAGTCCACCCTGGACTGTCCACGGTCGTCCTGTCATAACCAGACAGGCCTCTGTAGTGCCCTGAAGCTGACAAGTCTATGCACACAGTGGACATTGAGGCCTGAAGAGGAAAGAATTGCACATGAGCCAAGAACCTAGTGTTCTCATGGCTCAGGCAGGGCTGGGGAGGCTCACTCCGAGTTTGGGAGAGGGGAAAATGGCTCAGGAAGCCGACTGCTGCTGGCCAGAGAGGAGCCTCGACCTGTCTGTCTGTCTTTGAGGGGACACGAGCTGGCAAGGAGGCAGTATAAACAAGGGTGCAGGGGGGTAGAGGGGCTTTGAAGTTTCTGGGTCCCGCAGAGCCTTGTGGTTCTTGGAAGCATCTCGATGGCTTCTGTGGAAGGCAGGGGAGGGGTGAGCCCCAGGCCACCACTTGCTTCACTCTGAGCAGTGTCACTGTGGTCTGTTTTATGCAATAGGCTCCAGCTCAACTCCCTTGTCATATACAAGGGGAAACTGAGGCTCAGCAAACGTGGAGAGGTTTGAAGTCTCACAGAAGGTCAGTGCCAGGTCTCCACATCCAAGGCTCTTTCTAGTATGTGGCAGTAGCCATAATAGCATCTGCATTATCTCCTGGGACCCTCCCGAAAGCTGCGAAGGGTACAGAACATGCCCCATGCCCCACCTAACCTCCCCCCAACACACACTCTTAGCGGCCATGACCAGTGACCACCCAACACCCTCCAAATGCTGGGGCCACGTGGGCATCCTCTTTATTGGTGTTTCCCAGGTGCTGGTGCGGAATCCCTGGGGCTGAGGGGCCAGGGCTGTAGGAAAGGGGTGGCAGTCCCAGAGGTGGCAGGTGAGAAGGTGGGTTCTGGCATAAAAAAAGTTCTTGAGAAAGGCTCCTGCGTCTAGGTGTTGGCGGTGGCGAGGGGAGTGGTGTGTGCTTCTCAGCCAAAGACACTCTTGGCGGGCCCAGCTTTGGGCTTCTCAAAGACGGTCTCAGTGCCAGTCCGGGCGCGGCTGAACACCGACGGGGCGGCCGAGCCTGCTTGCTCTGTGGGGAGAGGCATGGTCTGGGCCCCAGCCTGGCTTCCTAGGGAGGGAAGGCCCCTTTTGTGCGGAGCACCCCCATGAGCCCAGGAGCTCTGGACTCTTAGAACTGAGGACCCATGGGACCCTCCCACCCTGCCCCCCTCCTACTGACACATCTGCACCCCTCGCCCCCTGTCCCCACCACCCCTAGAACACTTACCACACTCCCGCATAACCTGGTAAGTCTTGGACTTGATCTCCTGGTTCTTGGCCAGGTTCCCTCGGGCCCCCTTCAGGTCCTCTTCCTTCACAGGGGGGCGCTTCTTCTTGATGGGGGCTTCCTGAGCGCCAGCCTTGGAGAGCCCAGAGCCTCATCTTACACCCTGAGGCCTTGAGGTTCAGACCTCTTTCCCACCTATGTGCCTTGGCCCTGAGATCCCTCTTCCCTGCTCACTGAACTCAAGCCAATTCAAGGCCCCACTCCTCTTCCAGGAAGCCTTCCCAACTATACTCCACTCCCCTGCCCACCAGTCTCTCTGCCTTTCTGCCACAGACTGGGAGCTCTGGGCCTGCAGCTGCTGTAGCCTCACACTGTGTGTCTGTCTGGCCACGTTCAGGCCTGGGCACAATGGGCAAAGGGGAAAGGGATTGGCTTTGAGGCTGAATTCCAAGGTCTCTGGTGAATTCCAAGACCTGCTCACTGGGTGGCAGGGGGTCCCTTAGGGATTGCCTGTCTCCCCCAAAATTTCCAGTATTTACCGTGTGTGTTTTGGGGTGGGAGTGGGGCAGAGAAATCAGGTCCCCATGAAGTCAAAGTCCAAGGTCAGCACCCACCCATGGAGCAGGCAGCAAGGACAACCCTCCTCTTAGCAGGCTGATCTGCCTGTCCCTCCAGTGCTGGAGACATCCAGACCCTACCCCTCAGCCCCAGGTGCCTGTGAATCTGAGGCCTTATTCCTTCCTAAGCACTGGGGGCAGGTGCTAGGACTCTCTGGCCCCCGAGCCTGGGCTGGGCTCCTGGTGCAACACACTACACGCCTGCACAGAGACATACCCTGCTGGGGAGATACCCGGGCATAAAGTTATACACCTATACATCCAGCCTCACACGTAAACACATACGCACGGCTACAAATGTACGAAACTCCACACACCAAGTCATATAAGCAGCTCCCTTACACACAAAGACATGTGCAGAGATCTCAAAGTACCACATGCATTTTCTCCACTCCTCCTAACCATGGAATACCACCAAACCCAAGCTAAACAGGGATTCCTCAGGGTAAGCTGGGGCCTGGGGGTATCCTCCCTGAGCCCTGGCCTCCCAGAGCTCCTGTGTTTATGCCTGGAGCTCAGCTCAAGACACAGCCGCCAGAGATGCCAGTGTCCAGTTCTCCACTCCACCCGCCTTGGTACCAACACGGCCTGTGCTGGGCCCTCCTACCTGGGACATGGTGGGTACTGTGGGAGAGCGGCTCTGCAGGCGCCTCTCTGGCTCGCAGTAGCTCGTGGAAGAGATCTGAGCAGTGCCCAGCCCTCTAGAGCTTATATAGTCCGCGTGCCTGTCCTGGGAAGTCACTCCCCCTCCTCCGACAGGCTCCCCGATGATTCAGGTCCACACAGCCACTGGCTTCAGAGTTTATTCTTGGAGATGATAGGGGCTCGCTGAGCATGGCTGCCTGGGGGGCTGCAGCCCTGGTGAAAGCAGACAGCTGGGAAGATCCTTATCCTCGGGAACAGCTGCTGTTTGCAGGCGGGAGGGGCTGGGACTGGCAGCCACTTGTGCGTTTACGAATGTAGGTCCTGGAATGTGTTTGTGGCAGTCTGAGCTGTCCATCTGCGACAGTCCTTCCCAGTGTAGAGAGTGTCCTTGAGGAAAAGGAGGGCCCTGAGCCAGGTTGGACCGCTCTGAGCTTGTTTTTCTCTCTCTTTCACCCCTTCTCTGGATTCCAGAGGAAAGAGACTTTCCGCCCCTGCACGGCAGTGGGGCAGAAGCTCCCTGTGTCTGATGCTTAGGAGCATCCACTCAAGGCGAGCTCACGGAGCCCTCACAGTGGACTCAGGGCACAGCGGCTACCCCTGGCTCACAGGTGGAGAACGTGCGGCCAAGGGAGGGAAGCCTGGGAAGGCGCTCCATCTGTGCTCTTGCTGATGCCCCATCCTCTGTCTGCTCCCAGAGCAAATTTAGCAAAGGGACAAAGAAGGCAGGGGATAAAGCGCCCAGGAAGGAACCGAGGAAACTAGGCTTTGTGGTGAGGGCACTGGTGAGCTGAAGGCGGGAAACTGCACAGAGCCTTTGACTGAGATGAGGCTGCCGGAGGGTGCCTGGTCTGAGGACGTTTAGGTTGCTGAGAGAGGGTGAGTGAGAGTGAAGCCCATTCCAGTGACTGAGGTGTGGAGAGATGGACAGGCCCAGCGGCTCCCCTGAAGGTCACTTAGTTCCCCTATGCGAGCTCCTCATACCCCCACACACAGGACTCCCAGCCTAGCGCGGGTGCGGGGAGTGGATGCGGGTAGGATGTCAGGGCCCGCCCCGCTGGATCAGACGTACCAAAGCTCCTTGTCAGTTTGTGATGGAGATTATTTTTGTCCTTGAAGGCTCCAGGCAGACGGAACCCAACCAGGCCCTGACATTTGGTTACCCGGAATGCCACTCCACTGCTGTCATCCCTCAAACCCCACCCCGCTCCCTCCCGCCCGGTCCTGGCCCCAGGAGGCCACTGCGAGGACTGCCAGACTCCATCTGAGACAAGTGCTGACATGAGGAATGCCTCTGGACAGCCATGGGCACAAACGCAGGACTCCAAACAGGGGTCAGGAGGCACTGAGGGCAGGCTGGGTCTGTGAGTGCCCTGCTGCCAGCTCCGGGGTGCTTTGGCATGACCCCCTCAGCTGGCTCTGCCAGAGGAGGCACCTGCCTTCCAGCCCCATGGCCTCAGGGACAGGATGTGGTGTGTTCACTCCTCACGCTCCATCTCCCCAGCACCACTGGCTCCTCAGCAGGAGGGAGAGGAGCTTTTACTCACCTTAGCAGGGAAGTGGAAATGGCAGAATATGTCTGGTTTTCTTCCAGAGATTCTGGCTCCTACACCTGCCATGAGGCGATGTAAGGTTCTTTCTCACTCTGTTTCCTGGGGAGAACCTTCTAACTTACTGGGGAAATTTTCTTGACCCCACTAAGCTGTTTCAACTCCAGAGAACACACAACCAGCAACGACAAAAGTAATGGTTTCTTTTGTAAAAACTGTAATAAGATGTCAAACTTTATTGTAAACCATTTTACAATGTAAGTACATCGTCTTCCCTTTCATTTCAAAAATGTGTTTCTGGGAATCATAACATCACTGATGAAACGCCCGCACTGGGAGGACAGAAGGAGGCCATGATTTGCTCACATAGGTCTGACTTCTAATAAACGCCATGAAAAGAGAAATCAAATTAAACCAACTCACCCACACACCCAGGAGCCTAAGGTGCTGATAGCAGTCAGATGAGAAGGCCCTCACCAAGAGCAAAGCCCTCCAGAGCTGTCAATGCTTCACAGGGTCAAACAGAGGGCTCTCCATGCCAAGCTGGAAGTGTGTGAAACTTCTAAAAGCCAGTCCCACACCCTACAAGGTGGCTGCTCTGGCCGATGGAAAGTTTCCCAAACCATCTATGTTGGCCTGGCTGCAAAAGGCCAGTGAATTGCAGTCTGGTGGGCAGAGTGGGCTGCCAGCTGGCTGCTGCTCCCTCTAGGCTCCTAGAGCAGCATCCAACCAGGGACTCTGGGCTGCAGCCCACATGCCTACACTGCTAGGCGAAGATACAACTTGGATTTGTGCCTTGATATATTTCCCTTTAGAGGCATGACAGGTTGACATTAACCCATGACTCTGTTGCCAGGAAGGGGCACAAGTTAAAGCTTGAGGCAGGAGGCCACCAGTGTGTCTGAGGGCTAAATGATGGGCCACAGACCTTCACCTTGCAGGTATTTGGGCTGAGTGGACCGAGAAGCCACTGCCACCCGGGATCTCACCAACATCCCTCCTTGCCATTGTCAACATCCCACTGACAGCAAAAGGAAATAAGGGGGACAACTATCTCTTCCATTCAGATATGACAGTTCTATCTCATCAGATTATTCCCATGAGTTACAGGAAACTTGCTCATGACCTTGACTTACAAATTTCCATCATGGGGGTTTGGCTCAGGCCTAGATTTGGACAAATCAGGTGAAAAGCTCACAATATCACTGTATCCAGTTGGTGTCCCATGGTTTCTCAAGCATGGTCATGCTTGCCACATGGCTGGGTGAAGAGCTGCACCTTGTAAGGCACCTTGGAGTAGGTGGTGAGAAAACTCATCCCAGGGAGAGAGGACAACTCGGGAGGAAGCCCTGACCATGGCCCTCTGCATCTGCTCGCTCTTGGGACAGTGTACCACATGAAAGCCCTCAGTGACTGCAGGAGGCACTCCCAGGGAATACAAACTGTGTGTGTGTGTGTCTGTGTGTCTATGTGTCTGTGTATGTATACACATGACTGCACACACACACACGCAGGAGGAGGGTAAGGCCAAACACATGAGGCCATGCTGTCCAGGTCCACACACCACAACGCTCTCTATGATCAGACACCCTGTTACACCTCCATCCCCTAGTTAGCCAGCTACACAACTGTGGCTCAGAGACTAAAGCCCTTATTGAAAATCAGGTTACAGGGAGAAACCACCACTCACTCGATACCTCTCTGTGCCCCATACCCACTGCCCAGTAGGCACTGGGACGAGCCTTGAGATGAGCAGATCATCTGAGGTCTACATAACCCATAGTTTACATCTTTCAGAGACTGTGGCTACCCCACCCCTGTCCCTGGTTTAGAAGTATTAGGAGCTCAAGACTGAAAGCAAAGCTCTGATTCTGAGTTCAGGAAGGTGCAGGAAACAGCTGTGGGCACAGGTTCTTCCAACCAAAATGAAATGCGAGGGAAAAGTAAGGCGAGTCAGCGACTCCACAAGAGGCTGACATCTACCGGGAATGATGTCAGTCCCAGTCTTCCCAAATGCCAATTCTCTAGCCTTGAGACACTCACTAACAGCCAGGGGATAGGGGGATAGGCAGGGTGGGGTGGGGGGAGGGGCTGAAGAGTGGGAAATGAGAGGAGAACCAATGGGAGAGCTGGACTCCAATCTCACACGCTGCCTCGCCTCTCCTCTCCTCCCAGGCCGCAGACAACCCACACTAGCAGAGTCACCTCTTACTGCAGTTACAGGTCCTGGCTCCTCTCAGCTCTCTGGCTTCTGGACTCCCAGAGGAAGAAGGGCTGAGAAGTCTTCCCCAAGGCTTGCCCCTCCACGTCTCAGACAGGTGGGACTGTGAGAAGGAGAGGACAAGCCCAGGATCCCTTCTTTAACAGCTTGGCTCACATGCCACAATTCAGACTCAATCTGCTTAAGTGAAACACATTTTCATGTAAGTTTAAAAAGAAGGTCCTGGGTTGTGTGGCCTCCCTGCACTTGCTTACTTCCAGCTCACACCTTAGTGGTGCAGCTTTCTGTTCCTAAACTTCCATGGCTGCCTCTGGACTGTTACAAAACACTGGGCTGCTCCACACTGCTGCTTCCACAGCAGGGCAAGTGCCAGGTCAGCCCATTCCCCTGCCAGGCAGGAGACTCCCAAAGCCATAGGGGCCTGTGCCCATGCTAAGGAGTGGGGCCCACTCCCCAAGGAGGGGACGCAAGCTTAGAAGCACTTCGTCCTGCCTCTGGATGCAGAGAACGAGCTCTCACACCTCGACCTACTGCACCCCAACCCCCTACAGCTTTGGAGGACGTGAAAAACAGGATCACTTGGTCAGGCAGTCGTTCTCTGGACAATGGTGTGAAATAAGTGGATGACACTAAGATGACAGGCACGGGGCAGCCTGAGAGAAGGCACCCAGAGCTGGGCCCAGGGCTGGTTCTGAAGGCTGCACCAGTGGGAGGCAAGGAGGCCAAGACTGCATTCTAAACTTCAGATCTGGAGGCTCTGAAGAGGCAGGGAACAAACAGCAGTGGCCTCATAGTCTCAGCTTACCTGGACACAAAGACCTCTTAGCCTCCTTTTTTGGTCACGTTTAACTAAGACCTCTAACCTGCAAGCAGAAATGCCAAGGAACTGGCGGGCCCTGGGCAGAGCCCTTCCTGTTCCACACACCCTGGGGCCCTGGATTCACGTTCAGACCAGCTGCCTCCTGCTCAGGCCTGACCTTCACAGAACCACTGGGTTTGTTGATTTCAGATACGAGCCTGTCTCCCTTCCTACCGGAATCATTTACCTCATCTTACTGTAGATTACCTAACAATATTCCAAATAAAAAATTCCCGACTTTTTCCTCCCACCAGTTCACATCCCACAAAAGGCAAACAAACCCATTTCTTTGAGAATTAAAAAGAGTTTTTAAATACAATAGTATGAAAATATAACTTAAAAATATAAAAGTCAACAGCATACGGAAGACTTAAAAATCTATGTTTTGCCCATTAGTCCCATAGGAAATAAACACATAATCAAAAAACGGTAACACTGTGACAGCTCGTAAAACCGGCTTTAGAAATCAATAGTTACAAAAGCCATTTCGAGTAAGAAAGCATGATTCCAACTTGGTCAATGAGTGACTTTTAGCCCAAAACGTGTTATGTCTTCACATTTCCTGAGCCTTGGGGAAAGGCTCCACCCACAGTCCGTGTGCGTGAGTTTTCTTCCTCAATGCCACCCAGCCCAACACAGGACAGGGCTTCTGGGTCCCTCACACCACCACTCCGGACAAGAACAAACAAACAGAACGCCTCGCTTGCATATTTGGTCAGTGTTTGTAGTGCAACTGAGTGGGACCTCCGACTGCCACGGTCCCCTCGGCGCTGGCTCACCTTCCCGCTCTCAAGTCACAGTAGTCTGGGAGTGGGCAGAGACAGCGAGAGAAGCGGAGGTAGAAGAGGAGGGGCAGAGAGAGGAGGGAAGGAATGACGCTGTGCAGCGACCATCTGCTGACTCAGCAGCCGGCTGGGCCCCCAAACCTCACCCCCGGCACGGGAATGTGTCATACGGGCAGCCCGAAGCGGTGCTTCTTTTTCTTTGCCGGCTTCAGGGGGGTCAGTCCACGGAGGTCCTCCTCCACGTCTGACTCCTCCATCTCGTCATCGGCCGAGATCAGGATCTGAGGCAGTGGAGAGGCATGGCCTGAGTCACTGCCAGTGGCACCTTCTTCATCTGCCCTCCCTGGAACCCTGCACCGTGGTGGCAACACCCCTAGCAGGACTCAGGTCTTGTGTTTCTTTAGAAGAGGGTGATGAAGGCCCCGTTTCCAGAATGAGACAAGCTGGCCCACCCCAGACCTTATTTACTCCAAGTACATTCACGGGCTACTGAAAGCAGCACCGAATTGACATACCCTCCCTCTGCTAGGGCTCCCCACTTCTCCATCCAACCCACCAGCTGGGACCAAACCCCAGCCAGAGCAAACTCAGCAAAGACCTGCAGCTAAGGTCATCCTGGCAGAAAAAGCCCAGTCTTGACACATGGAGTCCCAGGTCCTTGAAGCTGCCTTAAATACAGCAAAAGCAAATTGAAAAGCCCCATTCAAAAGGAAAACATCTGTGGGGCACCAACAAGGCAGGGGGATTTCAGAGTGGCTGCTTGGAACCAACTTTGTAACTTCTGAAGACAAACAGGAGCCCTTCACCTTTCTGAGACCCTGAAACAACTCAGCCATGCAGCTGGGGCATGAGGGCAAACACTCTCATTCACTGCCCATCTGCCACACCACCTGCCTGGCTCTGCAGACCTCTGAGCACCAGGGAAGGACTGGGACAGCCCAGGTCAGGACAGAGAGGCCCAATGTGCACCTGCAGGGGGCACTCATTCTACTCCAGGGGCAGGCCAGTCTCCCCACCTTTCCCTGGACCACTCCGGTGCAGGGCTTCCTGCCTCCAGCCTCAGTCGGTCCCCTGATTAAACGCTCTCTCAGGCTTCCTACTGCCTGCACAAACATGTCACAATTCCCCAGCCTGCATCACAAAGGGCCTTGCTCATCCAGCTCAGACCTTCGCCTGTACCTCATTTCTTGTCATTCTATCCTACCCTCCAGAATACATGCTACTCTGGCCACAGTGAATTTCACATTACCCAGACGACAAACCACGTGACTATGATTGTTCATGAGTGGTTGATTCTGCCTGTAATGCTGTTCATCGTTTACCTAACGTTCACCAAGCTCTTGCAACATGACAGGCCCTGTGCCAGATTCTAGGGACACCTAGAGAAGATACGGGCTTACCCTCTGTCCTGCCATCTATTCAGATGTCAAAACTCCCGCCAGGGTGCCCCCAGAAGCTAAATAGGCTGTCCCAGGGTCCTCGCAGGTTTTGTTAATGCCTCAATCTCAGAACTGATCACTGATCATGATGAGCTGATCAGGCATTCGCCTTCAACTCATCCACAAGTCTGAAGGCTTCTCGAGGAAGACATCATCTCAGCCACTTCTGCAGCTCTTGCCCACAGCACAGAGCTCACCACACCATGGGAGCTGAACAAAGGCTTCTCACGAGGCACCCCGACCTCACCCTGCAGCACAGAGGTACAAGGTGAGTGCTGCCAGCTGCCCAGGAGGCGTAACCTTCCCTCCATGCTCCTAGTTATGACCACCAGTCTCCCTGAAGTCCAAACCTTTGAACTTAAGAAACTTGAAAATAAGGGGAAATGAGGCTCCCCCTTGGAGGTCTGGCTATCTCTGCATTTTAGAAGTTTCCAGCTGGCTTAGCCAACACTTCTCTTGCTCTATAGCGGTGGGCAGGGATTCAAACTTAATGCTGAAAGGTCAATGATCAGGCCCATCAGAGTCCTTGACAGCTTCCCTGGAACAAGGCAGCTCCTCTCTTTCCTGTCTTTCTCCACTGATGCAGGGACTGTTGGAGGCAAGCCACCCTCACCAGGTGCTCTAGCTCCCTGCCCTAGGAAGGCCCATGGGACAGCAGGAATAGGTCCTGGCTGGATTGGAGCTGTCAGCCTTCTCTCCCTCCCACTGCCTGGCGCTGAGAAGACCAGAAGCAAACATGAGACCAGAGACCTCCTTGGGTCAGCGGCACGAGAGCTCGGCCCTACCTCAGACTCCGACTCCTCGTGGGATGCAGCCCTTCGGTAGCGGACCTTGCTCCCGTTCCTCAAATCCTGGTTGGCTGCCCTTTCTTCTAGTTTAGCTTTCGTCCTCCCTTTTCTCATGAGGAAATTGTCCACTACCCAAAACATCAAAGCCTGGGGGGAGGAAAGTGCAGGTTACTCTGGGATAAGCCACGTGTGAAAGCAAGCAGAGCACCCCCATCCCCAGACTTCCCATCCCCATTCCAGATTATAACATCCAGAACTGGGGACAGGAAGGCCTCATCCAGTCCCCTCGCTATCTCTCAGAAGCTTAGAGGGGGACTCCCAACCTCTATTTCCTTTGCTTCTCTTTTCTTATCAGAGAACCGGCAAGAAAATCTCTGCCCTATTCACCCAGAGGGGTTTTGCGGCAGTCACTGATGGGGATAGTGACCCCCTGAGCCTTTCCTTGAGCCTTGCTCCAGCTGTTGGCATGGCGGGGCCTGGAACCAACGTCTGCGGCCTCCTGGTCTGGCTCCTCCCCAGGCTGAATGGCTGGCTGGCACACACACTCCACCACATCTGCCAGCTCCAGGTTCCTTTACCATTTCTTCTCATATTTCCTAACTTCTAGCCAGTGAGCCTGTGAGCTTCTCTTGGAGCTCTGTGGTCAGGAATAAATGATGGGGGTGAATTCCTAACATCCTGATCTAGAAGTCGCTGTTATATGTGTGGTGGGCCCCTGGTAGAGGGGTTGAGGAAGGAATCCTGCCATTTCCAGGTCTGGGTGGGGACGGGGGCAGATGCTCACGCAGAGGGATCTGAGGGCTGTAAGGTATTCTCTGTCAGACTCAGAACTCTGAAAAGGAACACTGCAGGGCAGGGAGCAAACTGGGGTAAAAAATGCAACATGGCACTGACATTGACAAAGAAGGGGACGATCAGCATGACGATGGCCAGTTTCAGGTCTGGGTTTTCAATGGGATTCAACAGGGCCACCTGTAAAGAGAAGCAGACTCCGTGAGGAGAGGAGAGACCACAGAGGAAGTGCCTGGGTGGGGAGAGTGGAAATCACCCATGAGGCCCTGAGAGGGGGGCACAGCTAGACACCCCCCCACCCCACCCAGAGCCCTGATGGAACAGCACCTCAGGGGCAGAGCAGCAGTCTCCAGATTTGAGTGCTAACCAGGGACCCCCTGGGAGACCATCTGGAGGTCAGTGCTTTAGCAGCTTTCCTGGGGTGTGGACGGGGGAAGCACAGTGGGATGACAACCCCCTGCAGGCACAGGGGGAGGAGTGTGGGCTTCGGGGAGCTGGATGGAGTGAGGTCACTGGACACTCATTACAGACACTAGCAACGAGGCGCCAGGCCACTTCCTAACAGAAATCTGCACCCCAACCACCTCCTGAAGGACAACAGCTCCGAAAACCCTGGGTTTATTTTCTTAAAAAATAAAACTCAGACACAAACGAAACCAAAGGAAGGCCAAGATCTGAGCTACTTGTTCCAGAAGGCTCTTTGGTTGGTTTCATGTGGGCAAGCGGAGGAAATGGGCAGGGGAGGCTTATCTGTGCTGCACTAGGGGCAGAGAGCACAACGTGGGACCAGCTGCTGCCCGCGGCACCAAAAGGCTCAGTTAAACCATTGGCCAAGAGAGATGTATGAGGGGGACATCCGCAAATGTAGAGAAGACCCTCCTGACATTGACAGTAGCCAGGCCTGAAGACTAACAGCAGACAGTAAGCAGCCCAAGGGCAGGGACTGTTATTTCCATTAGCTTTATATATTCCAAGGCTTAATCTAGAGCAGCCATCTGCACAACTGAAGTAGATGGATGCTAAGTAAAAACACTAGTTACTCTTCTTGATAGGTAGCAGTAGCTGCCCTATCAGACCAAATCCAGGGTGTGTTCATGGAGTCAAAACAAACAAACAAACAACAAGTTCCGTTTTCTAATAAGGCTGGGGTTGGGGTGGGGGTGAGGGAGGAGAAAGTACCTTCTTGCTTAGCTTCTCAACGAGCTGCTAAAGAAGGGACAAGAGCAAACCTTTTTCCACTGAAGTATCAGGAGGACGAGGAAGACGACAGACTTTTCAAAAATCATGATCACGATGTACAGAGCACACTGCCCAGCCCAGGCTCCACATTGCAGAGGGTCTCCTGCAGGGATAGTGGGTGCTCAGTCACTCGGGCCAGACGTCGGGATCCCAGCTGGACAATGCCCCTGCCCCACTCCCACCCCACACCAGAACCCTGGCTCTAAAGCTAGTTAATGAGCCCCCGAAGTACCAAGAACCACCTCAGCCTGAACAGACAAATGTGGATGTTTTAAATGAAATTGGAGAATTCCTAATTTGGAGATACCAGAATGGCTTTTCTTTAAAGAAATTCTAAGATATAATTAAAAAGCACTAAAATTAGTAAGTGCCCATGGCTGGAGCTCAGAAAAGCCAGTTCTTTTTATCCGCTGGCAGCAGAAGCTGTGTTAAGCAAGACTGCTATTATTACCCGTTGTTGATTTTTCCAGTGATTGTGGTGCCATCCGTCCTTTTCTCCATCCATGAGTTGCTGTGTCTGAATTATGAAGGCAGCAAACCACCTCTTTGCTCGTCTCTCACCCCTATCCCCAATCCCCCTGCTGTTCCTGTTGCCCTCAGCCCTGAGAGCAGAAATCTGACTCGAAGAATTCAGACTCTGTCTAGTATGGGCACCCCAAAACACCTTTGGCTGGGGAAGGAAGCCAAGGAAGAAGAGAAAGAAGCCCTCAAGACAAGGAGGCGGGAGTGACGGGCTGTGACAAAGGTCCGTTTGTCATCCCATTAGTCACTATGCTTGAGAAGTGCAGGAATCCAACAGTCCATGCTGGGGATACGCAGGCTATTCAATGTCTCTGGAATGTTTCAAAAGGGACTTGATGAAGGGGGGAGGACCAGCCCCTCCAGGGAATGATCTACGTCCTCAGTGACAAACAGAACCGATGGGATGGGCCCTGGGGAGCCATACATGCCTGCCAGAGTGGGAGACCAGGGAGGGCAGGGAGGGGCAAGGCCACCAGGGGCCCACTCTGGAAGCTCTGTCACAGCTGCCTGACCATGGCTGGCCAGAAGACAGACTGGAGGGTAACATTTCAGAGGAGGCAAAGGTCCTAATCCAGGCTGTGAGAAGAGAATTTGGCGCCGAGAGAAATCTCCAGCTTCTCATTTGATTCTACAGTCCAGGCACCAGTGCCGGAGGCCCCCAGCACTGCCCAAGCCTGCCAACTGTACACAGTGGAAGTGAGAGCGAATGCCTTCATGCAGCTGTAATGGACACAATACCAGGCCATTCCCTTTTCTGGAAAACCTCGGGAGAAGTGCGCAGAAAGCATGCAGAAAGACATCACTGCCTCTTCTGAGGTCATCCTATCTACTTTCACTTCTGGGATAAGACACATTTGAGCCAAAAAGCCATTTCAGAAGCACAATCTTTCCTAGCTACATTTTTAATGGATTTTTGTAATCCTTTCACTAAACTACCTGACATTATTGAGAAAAGTTCTCAAAAACAACAGATCAAAATATTTGTTAAAAACCATTAAGTAAGATTAGGGATAGTCAGACAGAAAGCACTAGTAGGAAATATATCTGAACAGGGACTAGTGTGTTTAAAAGTCAACAGAACCAGTGGCAACAGTTATCTAATATCAAAAAAAAAAACACACTTGCTCAGAGTGTGCTCACTCCATTTGCTCTTCAGTTCTTTTTTTTGGTGAGGAAGATCAGCCCTGAGCTAACATCCATGCCAATCCTCCTCCTTTTTTTTTGCTGAGGAAGACCAGCCCTGAGCTAACATCTATTGCCAATCCTCCTCCATTTTTTTTCCTTTTTCTCCCCAAAACCCCAGTAGATAGTTGTATGTCATAGTTGCACAATCCCTCCAGTTGCTATATGTGGGACGCAGCCTCAAAATGGCCTGACAGGCGGTGCGTTGGTACACACCCAGGATCCGAACCCAGGCCACCAGTAGCAGAGTGCGTGCACTTAACCGCTAAGCCACAGGGCTGGCCCCGCTCCTCAGTTTTAAGTGAGAAGAGAGCAACGTTCTTCCTCCCGTCTGCCTCATGCTGCGACTCACACTGCTCTGAGTCTCAGAGCCACAACTTAGCCGCAGGTGCCGCTTTTTTCATTTAGATGCTTTAATAAGAAAGTTAAAAAACGTGATGAAAAAAGAAAAAAAAATCAGGAGTAACCCCGCTCTCACACGTCATTCCTCCTGTGCATCCAGGCCACATGTAGCTACAGCTGGAACCAGTGCACTTGTGCTGGTTTGTTTTCCTGATTTCTGTTTCGTTTGAGTCTTTCTAACAATCCCCACTGTCTCATCTTTCAAGGATAGACAACCCAGGCAGTCTCACTGTGTCCTTCTTCTTAACATACTGGACACCCTCAGGTACAGGGGTGTTCTGTTTTTGAATTATTTCCTCAGGATAAATAGCAGGAATAGGGGCCAAAATGTCTGTATCTAGAGAAGCCTCTGCAAGGAAGCGTTAGGACAGGGATGGGCAGCAAAGCCCACAAACCACTGGTGCCCATGGGACACAGACCTTGTTTTCAGGGCTTCTGCATGGGGAAGAGTGGCCTGGTCATCAGACTGCAGACACCATGTATCGCCTGGGTCCTGTCTCATCCCTCAGGGCTGGGTAGTTTATTCCCCAAGTCCCATGTTCTTGTTAGCAAGTTCACCAGGTCTAGGAACCACAGAAGCACCTAGAAAACAAGCCCCTTTTCTTCATTTACCTGAGAATAGAGCTAAGGGGCCTACATGAAATTATTGCTTCACGTGGATGGGCCAGTTAACAGGTGTGGTAGGTAAAATAATGGCCCCACCGAGATGTCCACATCCCAATCCCCAGAACCTGTGAATATGTTAGGTAACATGGCAGAGGGGAAATCAAACTGCAAGTGGAATTAAGGTTGCTAATCAGCTGACTCTAAGATAGGGGGAGTATCCTGGAGTATCCAAGTGGCCCAATGTAATCACAAGGGCACTTCAAAGTGGAAGGAGGTGGCAGAAGGTCAGAGTGATACGATGTGAGAGGAACTCAACCTGCTGTTGCTGGCTCTGAAGATGGAGGAAGAGGCCACAAGCCAAGGAATGCAGGTAGCCTCTAGAAGCTGAAAAAGGCAAGGAAATGGATTCTCCCCTTAGAGACTCCAGAAGGAACCAGTCCTGCTGACACCTTGATTTTAGTCCATGAGACCCATGTCAGACTTCTAAACTACAGAACTGTAAGATAACAAATTTGTGTTATTTTAAGCCATTAATTTTGTGGTAATTTGTTATAGCAGCAATAGAAAATAATAGAAATTGATAGAAACAGAAATCAGGTAACTCAGGACATATGCTCTCCTTCCTCAGCCTGAGAAGGGAGGACTTGGGATAGTCCTTGATAAAGGGCAGCTTCATCTGGAGATACCCGGGTTTGAAGACTCTAGTTCCCAAAGGTGATGGTGAGATGACCTAAGGGCAGGGGCCGAGGCAGGCCAAGTGGCTAGAGGAGGGTGGCATGGAAGCAAGAGGCTCAAACAACCATTGCTTCCTTCCTTTCAATCTCCTCTTGGGGATGCAGACAAAACACGCTAGGAACAAGAGGTACCATCATGCCTAATGTATCAGGACCAGACCTGATCTCCACTCCCAGGTCACTGAGTGGCACTAACTGGCTGTGGGTGGATCTCCCAGAGCACTGGTCAGCTATAGTTGAGTTGAGAGCCCTGCCTTCCAGAGGGATCTTTACAACAGAGAAGTAGTTATGAGCATTGTTCTTGGAGATGGTGAGAGGATTAGGTATCCCAATGTAGTAGCCATGAGGCACCCCCCAAGCTGTGCACTGGCTGGGTGAGCTTCCTGCATCACTTAACTCTTCTGGGTCCCTATCCTATAAACGAGGATGTTGCTGCTTTGGTCCACGTGTGCTGGTCCATTTCCATCTTCCAAGCTGAGGAGTCAATGACTCGGAGTTTCTCAGAGGTCTTCCCTGGAGCCACAAGAGCTGTGTGTCGGACACTATCTTGGGTCAATGACTCATCAGGCATCAAGTAACGGGGCTAAGAAAAGCCCTCCCCTGAGCTCACCTCCCCTCAATGGAGACAAACAATTACTTAAGATTTCTAGAAATACCCAAGGTACTCACAGCCAGCTCCACAAATCAGCTCCCCTTTTAAATGTCAGTCCCTTGTGAGCCTTCAGCCATGGAGGAGTGAGTGGCAGAGGTACAAGCTCTTTGGAAGGCGTGCCCAGGAAAGGAGAGTGGGGATCCAGAATTCCACCCGCATTCCCTCCCTCTTGTCCTGTGAGCCCCTTTCATGGCAAAGGCTCCACTGATGCTGTTCCCACTGGAGTGGCCTGGTCCCACTCCAGACCAGGCCAGCTGTGAAGGTGGGAAAAAGCTGCCATTACCCTTTAACCCTGGGTCCTGAATCCCCAGAGGGTGGTAAGACCTGAAAAAGGCACCTCTTGCCAGCAGCCCAGTTGAGGCCACATCCAGCAGCTTCTCGGGGAATACAATGTAAGAGGCACTGGATTTGTGCTTGGAGCCAGCATGAAGGCAGCTTCCTACTCAAGCTGTATCCTACGGAGTCTGATGAGATAAGAGAGGGTGAATGCTGGGCCAGCACCCGCAGCTCACCTGTTTTAAGCCACGTCTCTGTGAGAATGGACCTGGTGTCCCTGGCGACTGTACATGCCAGATACTGGGTGGGGCCCCAATCCACGGTCAGGAGACAGCAAGACAACTTGGCCTCAGTGCGGAGAAGGACCCTCCAGTCCTGACCTTGTGAGCCCCAATAGCTGAATGGCCCAATGACAGGACAAGCACAGACATGCAGCAAAAAAAGTGAGGCAGCTCCCTACTGAGCACCTCCCAAATCCAGAGCCGCCTCCATCTCTCTAACGAGGTGGGTGGGAGGTATGAGTTTGGTGGGAAGCTTGGCAGGATGAGGTGGCCTATGGCCCTGGAGGTGGGGCCACCAGTTCCCTCTGGTGGAAGAGGCAAACACCGTTCTCCCTCCCTGCATCTAGGCTATCTCCTGGCTCCTGCCACCAAGGCCGGAGCCTTGGCAGTGGAGCAGGCACGTGACTCAGATGTGTGGCACTATGACACTGGCAGGAGGATGGTGCTCAGGCCCGAGCCCCTCCACCACCCAGAGGAGATAGCCACCAGCTCCTGAACCTTCTCAGAATCCACTGGCCTGGAGTGGCTATATAGGGCAAAGGGCAGAGACTCCCCCAGGAAGTCGCTTCCAGTGTCCATGGTACATTACCATATTCGCCAAAACGCAGGGACTCCCACTGCTGCCACTCCACTAAGATGCTGATGGCACGCACGCCCACGTAGATCAGCAGCATGCCCACGGTGGCGTCCAGGAGGAAGTTGATGAGGTACCTGCGTGGAGAGGGCACAGCGACCCCGTCAGGAAGCACCACCCAGGGAGCAAGGGCTTCTGAGCCAGGCCTCCAGTGCTTACCAGGGCCAAGGTCAAGGCTGATGACCCAGCACTGTTTGGCCTTATTCTGGCGGGCGGGGAGCCTTAAATGTGCCTGTGCAAGAGGCTGCAGTGCTCACTTCAGGGAGCCCCAATAAAGCCTCCTCACAACAGTGGGCAGAGACTCACCAGGGGTTGAACAGCTTGAGGGAGGGGTGGAGGAGTGACAAAGAAACTTGAAAGACCTCAAGTGTTCCTGCCAAACAGACGACACAAGACAGTGCCTAGCAGCACCCAAAGAAGTCAATAGGAAAACAGAACTTAATTGATTAAAAAAAATCTGCTCCATGACTCTGTTTGCTGCCTGACAGTCCAGCCCACCCAAGTGCTGCTCCAACAGAGCAGTTCAGGAAACGGCCTCTGGGGGTTCTGAGAACAAAAAGGGCAGGGCCACATGGCCCTCGCTCTTCTCCATGCTTCAGATCCTGCCATGCAGGCAAGTGCAAGTAGATATTCCTAAAGAGAGAACTATACTCCCCACGGAAAAGGCAAGACAATGGAGGAAGGAGAGGAGGAGGCTCAGAAGAGCATGCCCACCTTGACCGTGTGTTCCTGTAAGGTCTGTTTCCATCTGTCTGACTCACACGTCTTCCCTCACCAAGGAAAGGTCCCTTGCCCACTTGTCCTCCCACAAGGGTCACTGGGCACAACAGACCACAGGCCCCCGCTCCCCAAAGCAGGAGACAAGCAATCACTGGGTTAGGAACCAGCCCTCTGGGATGCCACATGGCCTGGAAACCCCGAGAAGCTCCGGATACCACAGACCAGCTGTGGCACTTTCGAGTTCCTGAGGCTTGAGACACTTTATGCAGACTTACAGCCCCCAACCCAAGGCCGAGGCTTTGGTGACGTGCACAGCACTCTGATACCGGAGGGAGCATGCTCTGCTCTGCCATGCTCATGGCCCTGCCGGCGCCCTGGAGTGGTGAGAAAACCAGAGGGAGGGGGCAATCTTTTCTCCCATCTGCCCTTCCTCTTTAAAATCACAAGAGGTCACTCTCAGACCAGAGATGGAAGGAACTACAACTGCTTCCAAGGCAATTTCTCCAAGTTCACAGCTGAGCTCTGGCCCTAGGCTAGGCTGCTCTCAGATGCTTAAATCTAAGTGGTTCTCATCTCTGAGACCCATTCTGATATAACAAGAACACCTGATACACATACATGCATTAATTCATGAATTCCTTCACGAAATATTTACTTGAACCTACTGTGTGCCAGGCCTTGGGAATAAAGACAGAAAGCTCCATACTCTGTACCCAACACAGGCGCGATTGGCAGACAGTAGAGCATCATGTGGGCCCCAGAGCCAGACTGGCTGGGTTCAAATCACAGCTCCTTCACTCCTGAGCTGTGTGAACCTGATGAAGTTATATAATCTCTCTGAGCCTCAGGTCCCAAACTGTAAAATGAGGATAGCAAAGTATCCATATTGCAGGGCTGTTATGAGGATCAAATGAGTCAATTCATGTAAACAGTGCCCGCTGCACAGTAAGCGCTATGCAAATATGATGTTAGAATCACAGTCCTTCAGAGTCCCAGAACCCTATCTATCACAAAAGCCTAACTCCCACCCAAAGGAGCATCCCCAGCATAGGGGACCCCTATGGCTACAGGAAGCAGCTCTCCCCCTCTGTAAGTTTCTTCTCTCCCTGAGCTGAAACTGGCTTCCCTTCTGGGTCTGCAGACTCGCACGACACCCATGTCCAGCCCAACCCTCCCTCATCTATGAAAAGTCAGAGGGCAAAGCAAGGATGGTGGGGCCTGGAATGGACCCCAGGGCAGCATTCGCTGTTCCCCAGGCCCAGAGTCTCTCTGCTCTCTGGAGAAATGGCTGCTCTGCCTTTTTAGTCTCCTCCCCAGCAGCTCTTCAGTGGACTGCTGGAGCTCTCACGTCTTTCCTAAGTTTTAACAACCATATCCTCCAACAGAACTAGTAACATCTTCATTGGTAAGTGCCCCTCTGGTTTCCAATGGTGCTTATACTCATCACTGTGAAACCTTCACGGGAATCCTGGGGATCTGGCAGGATATACAGGGCAGATGAGGAAACTGAGAAGTTAAGCTGCCTTCCCACAGTCCGGCCTCTCAGGCAAGTGCTCTTGTCACCACACCATGCTCCTTCTTGGCCTTTTCTCCTCCAGGCTGAGCCCTTGAGATCTGTTAACAGTCCCTTCTCCATCCAGGTTGCGACTCAGTTTGTCAATGTGCCCCCTAAAGCTGTATCTTCTTTTTGCAGATGGGTGTTGAAGGTGCTGCAAAGGAGAGTGACGTGGCCAAGGCTGTACCAGCAGTTAGGCTTCCTCACGCCAGTGCCTCCAGGATAAGCAGCTGGCTCTCAGCCTATCTTGGCAACATCAAGACGGTTGATCAGAGGATGACATGAGCTTGCTGCTGGGCTCAAGGGTTGGAAAGATAAGGCCCTTTCCTAACCATCTCCCCTATGGTAGGATCACCCTTCTAGTCCCGTGCTTTGGGACTACACCCAAACACCCAAACAGATCACAACCTATCCAGGTCTGAAGGAAAGACCCCAGGGAGGGAGACTTCACAACTTTCTTCTGAAATCTGGGCCTGGATTAAATCACAAAACTACACACTGTCACCAAAAAAGAGAAGCTTACAAGAATTTTCCAGTCCAAATGATCTTAAATACATACTAAACCTCTTGGCAAGGGACTCACCAGCCCTCTGTCCCGCTCTCCCTCAGAGGCAGGGCAGGGCAGTAGGGCATTCCAGGCAGAGGGCAGTGTGAGCAAAGGCACAGAGGCAAGAGGCAGCTGGCGGGGGTGAGGGCCACCAGGAGCAGCCCAGCATGGTCAGAGCACCAAGGTGTAGCCAGGAAGGTAGGAGATGGAGCCACAATAAAGCAGGCGAGCCCCCTTGCCCACTTTCATCTGCTAAGCAAGGCACCATTCAGGTGCTGTCAGCAAGGAGGATGGCACATCAGGGCCCGATTGGGGTTTCAGGCAGATTGCTCTGGGGCCTGGGTGGAAGGCACACTGCACTGATCAGGCGGAAGAACTCATGCTCTTCAGGTCAAAGGTCAACAATGGTTAAACAATGGCTATGACCCTGAGTGACTGACACCACAGAGAAGCCCCCGTGTGTCCTGTTCTAGCACAGAGACATTATGCTGCCCTGCCAGGGACTGCTTGGAAAGTGGGAGACACAAGGGTACTAGGAAGCCAAGGGACAGAACTTAGATGGATGAGCAGAAAGCCAGTGCACCGGGCAAGTGTCAGCAGGCAAAGCCCCAATGGCCAACTGAGAGCCGTGTGTCTGAGCTCACAGGCAGCAAGCACAGGATGATCTCTCTGAGGAGCATGGAGGATGAAGGGGAGTTGCCCCCTCCCAAAGCGAGAGGGAACGTGACTGGAGGCAGAAAGCATGGCCAACCTACATAGCCAATGGAGAAGCAGTAACGTCTGCGCTCAAATACGGGCCACTTACAGTGAACAAGGATCCTCTTCAGTGAGATCTGCTAGGTATACATTTGCAAAGTGGATGAACAGCATTCCTATGGCTTGTTTGGAAGTGTCTAAAAACCTGTAAGATAGGATCAGCACTTGTTATCACTCCGACAGGACGGTAATATCCAATTTGGGGAAAACAATGAGGCTGAAATAAGAAAAAAGCCACTGGGGAGACCCCAACCTTCCAATTACTAGTCACCTCTTCCTGGGGCATCAGTACTAACTCAGCCTCCGCCTTTCAGCCACCTTCCAAAACCTTCAATACACTGCATTTGAAATCCCTAAAAGGCCATTGATTAACAACACATATTTAAACACATTAAATACTTATTTAAGACATGTGTTTTTACTTTTTCATTTTTTGTTACTTCAAATTGAAATGCTTGATCACAGCTTTGTGATGAAGTCCAAGGTGCCTCTACTTTAAAGACTTTCCATTCGATTTCACTCACAATGAGCTAAATGATGTGCGAGTTAACAAGACCGCACCAATCCAGTCCTGCTGCCATTTAAACACTGGGATAGATGGGGTGGGTGGGGGGTACACTCTTTCTGTAAAAGGTCAGAGGGGAAATGTCTTAGGCTTCATGAGCCATCATTCTCTGCGGCAACCACTCAACCCTGCCACGGTGGCATTAAAGCAGCCCTGACACTACCATCCAGTAACACTTATGAAAACAGACAGCAGGCTGGACTGGGCCTGCGGCTACAGCTTGCCAGCCCCTGGGCTAGATGACAAGAGTTCCAAAAAGGAAAAAGACAAGGTTGTTAGTCTCTGGGACACCTTGTGCCCCCCTTCACACGGTAGGAGCATGGTGGAGATGACATGGGCCCTTTAGTTTCTTCTCTGCTACGAACACCTGGAGACCGCTCGTGTTTTGTGGCTGAGGAACTCTGGATCACGGCTGTCTCTCTCAGCCTCCCGTGCTGGGCGTCCAGAGCTGGGCCGGGTCACTGAAGGGGGGGATGAGGGTGCACACATGCATGGGACATCGGCCAGGGGTCTCAGGACTGGAATGGACCTTACAGATTACCCAGAGTAACCCTGCAAGTGAGGCTTGAAAATCATTTCCTAAAACCATGGCAACGCAGGAGTCACCAAAGGGCAACGTGTGTGAACACAGAGTGCCCCAACTCTAGGTCATCCACAGGTCCCCCCAGCCCAAGACAGATACTAAGACTGGAAAGAAACCAACTGGAGGAAAATAAAAATAAGAATTATTAACATTCAGAAATAATGCATTGAAGATCAACCAAATATATGCTTAAAATCTTCTAAAGGGGCCATTATCACAGAGATTTATCAGAAGTTTTCTCTGGAGAGGAAAATGGCTATTTTGCTTTGGCAGGTGCAAGCCTAAGGCAGCCCAAGAAAGACGGCTTCTGTGGACACCATGTCCTGAAAAGCTGGCTGTCTCCTTCCAAGGGATTTATTTTTTGGAGTTTTGTCATTGGAAGCTTCCTGAAGCTTTACCACCATTTTTATGAAGGAAAAACTGCCACCACAGGGTCATCCTAGGACCAAGAAAGACTAGTTTTGGGGAGAGGATACACAGTGTATCTGACTGATCTCCAAATTTAGATTTTTTTTTTGCTTACGCATATAGACTACAGAATCCAAGGATTTAACATAATCTAACAGGAAGGAGACGTAACTAAAGGAGCCTGCAGCACCAGACTGACGTATCTGCATATCTTCCATCTTCTAAAACTGGACAGCAGAGCGATGAGAGAATAAAGGCAGGGCACAACAGTCATCTGTAGAAACAAGTGCTTTCATATTATACACAGTTCCTAATGATTAATTCAACCAAGGGATTCCAACACTTGATGTTAACGTATAATTGCTCCCATTCCATCCTCCCACCCCCTGCCAAAAAAACCCCCAAATAGTCAAAAGCATTCTAGGAGTAAGCTAATATTTAAATACACACCATATCTTCCATGGACGTCTTTCATGCTTTGGTTCTCTGAAGCGTTTGACTGAAAGAAAAGACAAGACATTCAGTAGCCTTCCACAGCGATAACAAAGCAAAATGCCTATAACAAGCTGGGTTATCAGTGCACTCAGCGTTTACACTACTAAGTTAAGGTGACTGCTCTTTCAACATGTGACCATGTACAATAAGTCGTGAAGGTCACAGAGGCCTTGTATTGCTGCTGACCAGTATAGACTCTTCAGAACTGGATACTCAGGAAGAATGACTCCTCACAGCACGTGGGAAATTGTGTGTTCTTCTTTGTTTCAAGGCTCTCTCAGATAAGAGAAACCACAAAGTGGAATGTAGCTACTTCTAACTTCAGGATACGCTCTACTTAGCGACAAATCCAGCATCCACCCAAAGGTTCACTGAGTGCCTACTCCAAGCCAGCAACGAGCAGACAAAGGCAAAGGCAGCTATCTAGCAGGAGGGCAGAGACACAACCACATGTGTGGCAAGTGCTCGACAAGAGGTAAGTCTGAGGCAGAGGGAAGGCACAAGGGAAGGACGACCAGCCCTGCCTGCCTGGAGGAAGTGTGCTAGTCAGGAGAGGCTTCACTGGTGGGGGACCAAGCCAGGTCCTGAAGTCTGGGTAAGAGCTTAGAGAGTGGACCAGGAAGGGAGAGAAGATATATCCTGGACAGAGCACACACCAGGAGCTCATAGGTACAGGGACATAACACGGCACAGTGTGTCTGGCATAATTTGATTTGGCTTAAATACAGCAGGTAACGAGGGAGATGAACTGAGCAGGGGCCATACGAGGGACTCTGGAATGAATCCTATAGGGAGGGAAAAGCCAGGGAAGAGTGCTAAGCAGAGTCAGAGACACAGTCAGACTGTGCTTTAGAGAAGCGGCTCTGAATCATGTAGATGGTGGGTCTCCGAGGTGGAGAGGACTGAGGAAGAATGCAGGCCGTGTCTCAGCACCAGGCAGGGGTACCCCCAGCTACAGAACAGTCAGCAGGGGTGGGGTGCTCAATCAGCAACAGCCTCACCGACGTAGGATGGCAAAGGACCTCCCCAGATTGACACTTTCACCTCAGGTCTGCAGACACAACCGTTTGAACAGAAGGAAACAAAAAGTTTCTAAGTGTCTTGTCTTCCATTGAAGCCCCAGGCAGACTATTTCCACAACGATTCTATCTACTAAAACAAACACTGAAAGAGCTGCACCGTGTGATGTTTTCCCACACAAAAGTACTGAGGAAGAAATAGACGCTGATGCAAGCCCACAGAGGATGCCTCGTTACTACTGGTAGCAGGCAAGAACCAACTTTTGGTAGCACCCCGAGCTGCCAATGAGGGTGTAGGAAGAGAAGGACGGAGACAGGGAGAGAAAACGGTGCTCACATCAATAAACCTACTTCTCTTCATGAATACAGGCAGTCTGCAGTTTGCACAGCGGAAGTCAGTCCGGTGTTTAGAGACATTCTGATAGAGAGAGACCAAAAAGCAGGTGGAACTGTAAGGAGGTCTGTCATTCTGTTGACACATCATAGATCCAAAACACCAACAACGCCCAAGAATTTGGAGGGGAGCCCAATAGGTTCTACTTGCCCGAATGGCTCTCAAGGGCAGGAAGCCTCCTTCTCATGAGCATCCAAGTCTCACTGTGGGGCTGGCTCAGGAAGGAGATGTGGAGGAAACTGCGGCAGGACAAAAGGATCTGGAAGGAAAGCCCCTAGTTGGGGCTGGAGCCACTGCATGCTCATTTGTTCTTCTGCCTCAGGGGAATGTGTCCCCATCAGTATAAAATAAAGGAAGGACATCACAACTATCCCAAGGAGAATGTCCTCAGTCTTAGGAGTCACATGCTGAAGTACCAGAATGGCTGCAATTTACTTTCAAATGGTTTAGGGGAAAAATTATACATTATACAGCTATATATAATAAATATATTATAAATGGTATCATAATTATAAATGATACAATAAATATAATTATGTAATAAATCTATTATTTATAATTATATTAATATGATATATAAAGAGAAGCAAATGTGGTGTTATGGGCCAAATTGTGTGCGTCCCCACCCCCCATTCATGTGTTGAAGTCCTAACCACTAGTACCTCAGAATGTGACCATATTTGGAGACAGGGCCTTAGAAGAGGTAATTAAGGTAAAATGAGGTCACATGGGTGGGCCACAAAATCCAACACAACTGGTGTCCTTATAAGAAGAGGAGATTAGGACACATTCACAGACTGAGGGGCGACCATGTGATGACCCAGGGAGAGGGTGGCCATCTGCAAGACAAGGAGAGAGGCCTTGGAAGAAACTAAGCCTGCCGACACCATCATCTGGACTTCTAGCCTCCAGCACTGTGAGAAAAAATAAACGTCTGTTTAAGCCACCATTCTGTGGCACTTTGTTACGGCAGCCCTTGCAAACTAACACACAGGGCAACACAATAATTGGTGAACCTAAATGAAGGATATTTGGGTATTCATTAAATTATTATGTAGACTTTTCTGTAGGTTTACCATTTTTCGAAATAAAAAGTTGGGAGGAAAACACGCTCTAGAAGAATAAACTAGTGCAACCACTCAGAGATCAATTTGGCAATATTTATCAAAACTTCAAATGCCCCTTTAACCTGCAATGCACTGCCAGGTATGTGTTCTACAGGTATTTCTGCAACACGTGCCAAGATGTATAGGGATCTTCACTGTAATACTGTCATAAAACCCAGAAAGAGACCAGTGCCCATCAATATGGGGTTGGGACACATATCATGGTACAATGAGACATTAGGCAGTTACTAAAAATGACAAGGTAGATCTGTATGGATTAATATGGAAAGATTTCCAAATTATAGCAATAAATTGCAGAATAGTAAGCCTGCTATGATTCTGTTCATATCCATTTTTAAAGGACATATATTTATGCTGGGATGATGCACATATTTTTTCCCTAGAAGGATATATGACTATTAACAAGGGCCACCTTTGATGAAAGGAATTATGGGTCAGGGGAGTGGACTTTTATATTGTTCTGAATGGTTTAAAATATTCTTCCCTATTCATATTGCTTTTATTTCAAAAATTTAAAAATAAAAGGCAAACCTGTGTCTGAGACTTGCACTAGAGCAGCAAAGTGGGACATGGGAGAAGCAGTGTGACTCACAGCGGGGCTCTGGGACGAGACAGGGAGAAGAATGGCGTGCGTATGTGGTCCGTGTTGAGAGCAACCTCACACAGGAACACTTAGACGAAATTCAGAATGGATTCAGGGGCCGGCCCCGTGGCTTAGTGGTTAAGTGCGTGCGCTCCGCTGCTGGCGGCCCGGGTTCGGATGCCGGGCATGCACCAATGCACCGCTTCTCCGGCCATGCTGAGGCTGCGTCCCACATACAGCAACTAGAAGGATGTGCAACTATGACATGCAACTATCTACTGGGGCTTCGGGGAGTAAAAGGAGGAGGATTGGCAATAGGTGTTAGCTCAGGGCTGGTCTTCCTCACAAAAAAAAACAAAAACAAAACAGAATGGATTCAGATTCTTCTGAACAGCAGCAGTGTGGCTCCTGCCGTCTTCCTCTCCATCTCCCATCCCCTCTCACTAGAATATTTCAAAGTCTAAAATCTTTTTTTTTAATTAAAGAAAGAAGAAACATTAAGGAAGCTACTTCAGATCTAATTTGGTAGGAAAAAAACAGAAAAATTCCTTCATCCATCCAGTTGTGTTTTACTGAGGGGCCTGCTGTGCGACAGGCTCCATTCAGCAGGAGATGAAATAGACAAAATCCTTGCCTTCCTTAACACTCTCGGGGGAGCAGAGAGAGGAATAAACATGGAGTATGTCAGACTGCGACAAGTGACACTGAAGCAGGAACGGAGAGAGGAGGGCTGGGAAGTGGGGTTTGCGGCCGTAGAGGAGGTCTGGAAGGTGAGCAAAGACCTGAAGAAGGGCAGGGTGAATCACTCGGGGTCTGCGGAAGAGCCGTCAGGCAGAGGGCTGAGGCCAGCGCTTGGCGGGGAGCGTAGGACTCGAGGTCCAATCTCCAGGCTTTGTGGCCCAGGGCGAGGGCTCTAGCTCTACCTGCGGTGACCTGGGGGTGGCTGCAGGGCAGGACGGCTGTGACCCTCAGTTGAACAGGCTCGCCCCAGCTGCTGTGCTGAGAGAAGCCTGAAGGGGCAACGGCGGAAGCAGGGAGACCAGTTAGAGACCACTACAATAACCCAGGGTGAAACGATGGTGGCTGGCCTCGGGGACAGCAGGAGAGGGTGGGAAGTGTCGGATCCTGGTTGTGTCTTCAACACTGAGCAGACAGGACGTGCTGACAGAGTGGATGTGGGGTGTGAGAGAGAACAGCCAGGGATGACCCCAGAGGTGGGAGTTTACACAGTTCCACTACATTTCTGCTTTTGTTTTGGGGGAGGGAGGTAAATTGGGGAGACACAAGACTTCTCTTTAGCTAAGAAAGAAGGAGTTGCCTCTGAGTCCCTCGTGGACGGCGGGCCAGGTACCCATCCCATGGAAACAAGCCTGTTCCCCATGGGAGCCTGGCAGCTGCTCCTTCAGAAGCCGCAAACAAAAAGGTTCTCTGAGAGTGGCTCAGGTGTAGCCCTAGGACAACTGATCTTTTCTCAACTCATGGTGCTTCTGTAGGATGGAGAGAACTCAGATGGAGCAAGCCAAGGCAGAGCACAATCCATGCTTTTTTGTGTGTGTGTGAGGAAGAGTGGCCCTGAGCTAACATCTGTTGCCAATCTTCCTCTTTTGTTTTTTGCTTGAGGAAGATTTTCGCTGAGCTAACATCTGCGCCAATCTTCCCCTATTTTGTATGTGGTATGCCGCCACAGCTTGGCTTGATTAGCAGTGTATAGGTCTGCGCCTGGGATGTGAACCCTGAGCCACCGAAGTGGAGCACACACACTTAACCACTATGCCACCAGGCCGGCCTCAATCCATGCTTTCTAGACACATCCATCACATGCCCCCTGAGGCAGGAGGGCTGGTAGAGGAGAAGCAGGCACAGCTCAAGTGTAGGTCAGGT